AAGAGAGACACAGATATACATATATTTCTTTTATGTATATATATATATATATATATATATATATATATATATATATATATATATATATATATATATTAAAGTTTACAATGATAAAGAAAAAGCTGTTAAAAAACTGTGAAAATAGAATTTGGTCTTGTCTGTAAAATTGCTTTAAACAAACAAAAAAACTACTCATTTCAATCTAGATTTTAAAAAAAAAGAAAGAGCAGATCTTTTGATTTCAGGAAGTTGATTCCAGACCAGAGGAGTATTGAAACTAAATGTTGCATCCTGTTGCTTTGTTCTGAGCCTGGCAGCATTGATGGCTTATTAACTCAATGCTGAGGGTTTTAGGGTTTACTCTAAAATTTATATAGGCCCAATACCTATCCCTTCACAAACAGGAAGACCATGTTCTGGAGCTGGTCAGCAGTCTGGTAGCAGCATTTTGGATGAGCTACTGTGGCATAAATTTTGTATTTTTATATTTAATGGGAAAATAAGTATTGAACTCCCTGTGTGCGGTTCTGTCTGTAGAATGAATTGCCTCAACCAAGACAATGACACTCTGACCTTTCAACATGTGATAGATAACTTCATCAAGGGGACATGGTAAGGTCAGAGTATGCTGGGAGGAAATTACTCATGGAGCTGTTTAACCTCTGTTGGTTGTGAAACCAGATAGGATTGATATTTAATAAAAGAGGTTCTGAGTTTTCAGTGTTTTATATTGATGAGCACTGAGGATTCTGTGACTTTGTGAGTGTGCTTAGAAAAATGTTAAAAAAATGTTTAAATCTTGAACTATTCAGAGACTGGGGATATGACCAACTCCTTGCTGCCAAAAGCCAAGGACTCAGAAGAACTATCACAACCGTCTCGGTTGAAAAAACTGTTGCCTAAAGCTTTTTGTTTTTTAACAGAGACCAAAACAATAATAAAAAATTAAGCCTGAGTGGTGTTTTCCTTCCTTCCTTCCTTTCTTTCTTTTTTCTTTCTTTCTGTCTTTTGGCATAGGGCCTGAGAAAATTTGCCCAATTGATTTGAAGAATTAGTAATTCAGGAATTAGTAATCTAGTAGTAATTCAGGAGTAAAACAGACGACATTTCTCTAAAGATGGGCAGCATAACAAGGCAGCCTGTTTGGGATGTTTAAGACAAAATCAATTTGCCAAAGATTTATAATAAAACAATTTCAAAAACGGAGCTGCATTAAAGACTCTAACAGCACTGGAGAGCACGGTAACCAGAGTGAAGCCATGTTAAGCTTGTCCAGTCTTCTGGATGTGTGTGTGTCTAAGTGTGTTCAGGAGCGACAGGCAGTCAACAGTCATAAAACAGGCCTGGGCAGTATTGTTGTTTTTGCTCTTGATGTCACAAACATGATTGTTTAGCCACTTTTAAACCTCTGATTATAGTTGTGTTGTGAGTGAAGCTAAAGTTCTGTTTTTGCCTCCCATGTTCAGCTTGTCTTAAGACTTTAATTGAACTTCTACCTCAGTATTTTTCTTCATTGTAACTTTTATTACTACCACACAAAACATTGATCTGTACTAAGCTGAGGTGGATAGAGTACCCAAAAATATCTGAAGTAAGAGTAGCAATACTCCAACATATTCTTACTCAAGTAAAAGCAAAAAGTAGTCAACCAGGTAATTACTAATATAGAGTAAAAAGGTATTTGGAAAGGTGACTCAAGCACTCAGTAATGGATGAAAACATCAATCATTTGATATTTAAAAATGACATCATCAAACGGATAAACCTACTGTTTGCACAAAGCTCCTCTTTGGAGATGGCGTTCAGCTTCAGCCTCACAGAGCAGCCCTCCTCCACGCTTTGCACACTCAGCTCCTTCAGACTAGCAGCAGCAGCACTTAGCAAACACCTGGTGCAACTGTGAATCTGCTTAGCTCGGTTTGTAGACAGCATAATAGAGCAACATTGTTGTGATGACGTTCCAAAGGCAGTCATCAATGATGACTATAATGGAAGCTTCTTAAAGAGACAGAGCATCTTTACATTAACTGAAGGTAGTAGCATAGTTACATGACTGTGCTATGAAATAGCACAATGTGACTGGAAAATACATAATACCCTTTAAGAACTAGGTCAATATGAGAAGGTTTGTTTGTACAGAGCTGACTAAGTGGTCTTATAATTCATCGATTCTTCCTCTACTTTTGTTGTTTCTGTTTTGTTTGTTTTTTTGTTTTTTTTTTCAGACTGTGTTCACCATCCAGAACCCAGCACAGAAGTTTAATCTCCCTCTGCTGATGAGCCCCTTCTCCTACAGCACCCACAGAGGGAACTGAAGCTCTAACAATGGCAGACAGCTTTCTCTGCTGTCAAATTTGTATTTTAGCGATATCGTGTCTTGCTACATTCAGGTTTTTCTGTCCCCCGAAAACCCCGCCTCTTTGTTGTTGTCGTTTTGTTTGGCAAATCCGGATGTACGCACAAAATACAGTGTGCACAGTTATGAATCAACCGTGTAACAGATTATGCTTCAGCTTTGTTTACTAAAAGAGAAGAGCTACAGGATCTGAGATCATTTGCATTGGAGAATTTAAAATCCTCAAAGGGCTTGAGGAACCTTCTGCAACCTGTTTCCTAGAAAACGACAGAAATGAGGTACAGCTGAGACAGAAAATCAAGTCAGTTTAAGGCTTGCAGCATGTAGAACCCAGGTGTTGCTCCAACATGCATGGAGGCAATGTTTTCTTTTCTTTCTATTTTATTTCCTCCCTGTATGGTAATTATATGCTGATCTTATAATAGATACAAGCATAGTTACATAGCTGGAATTGACTTTTTGAATAAATTCTTTCTTTCGTTTTTTTTTTTTTTTTTATTAGGAAATTATCAGTTTTGGTAGTTTTTGTTTGGCAAATATCCAAGTGCTTATCTCCAGCAGAGACAAACAACCACGCACACACACATTCAATTTGGAGAGGCCAATCAACACAGTTCTGACACACATGAAACACAAGTGAGGTATGGCAGGCAGAGGGCTTTGAGTTATAACACAGACACTCAGGCGTCAAAAGGACTGAGAGCCACCTCATGTGTCCAGAAGCAGACCTACAGACACTGCCCTCTAGTGGAGAGCAGCAGCTTCTGAGCTTCACCGATCCCTCTGGTGGAGACCTAAGGTAAGGTAGAGAAACACCAACCACACAGACAACCTCGCAGACTCCACTCACTGCCTTGCCTTCCCATACTGCCCATACTGTGGCAGTATGGGAACTATGGCAGTATGGGAACATATATTAACTGACACTTTTGATTACTATTATAATTATATTATTGATTTTGTGTTTGCAGCTCATCCAATTTTCTTAAGTTGAGAATATTTTTGTATATAACTTAGTTATTTGTTTGGGCTGGCATTTGTTCTGATTCCTAATTTTAAGCAGTTTTTTGATATATTTTGTTGAATTATTACATTGGGACATGCCTATTCTATTTTCCTCTATTTGGTTTGGTGGTTTGTAACTCCTCTAGTTGTGTTATTTCCTTTCCAGTTGCACAGGGCTGTTGGTGGTGCTGGTGGTTTCATGGAGGTGGCGTCCTCTTCTGATTGCTGAGCTTCCTGAGTTTTGCATTGTTTCACCAAGTGTCTGCATATCTTAGGGCTGTTATTTTGTTTTACTATGTTTGCTCTTCTGCTATGGTAACCTCAGCTCCCGATTAGATTTATTTCCCTCACTCTTTTTTAGTAGGAATGTTTTTAGGTATATTTTTAAATATGATAAATTATTCATAAACTTTAAATTCCATGTCAGATGTCATACATATATAACTTGAGTACCTTAAAGGGGTAACATCCTCTGGGTGAAATTTCTAGGATGCTGTCAGTGAGCTGCTTCTTTTTGGGGCATGTTGAATATTATTCATGAGCCTAACCTTGTGACTCTACACTACAAAGGCAACAACAACACAATGCAAGCGATTGTCCACTGTCACTACATGCTCATTCAGGAAGAGGGAATCCTGCAATCTGCTGGGTTTCCTCAGGGAGAATAGAAACCCAGCTTTATTTAAAGGGCCGGTATCAGGTAAAATTGACTTTTTTGAAGTTTACATCATGTCATAATGTTATTCCCTCATTATAAACATACCTGGAATGTTGTCTTGACTCTTTTATGCATGTTTGAGAAATCCTTTCATCTCCACGGCAACCATTCAGCTGTGCAAAAGGCCTAGATAGACCTAGCCCTGCCTCCAAGGCGCAGCTCCTCCTCAAAGTTGCAGCTTCTAGGTTTCCAGGTTTCCGCCTCACAGAGCAGACCTTCCCCACTATCCACCCATTCAGCTCCTTCAGACTAGCCAGCAGCAATTAGCAAACACCTTGTAGAACTGTTAATCAGTTTCAGGAAGAATAGGAGTTTTTAAAAAGACACAGGTCCAATTTCAAAGCATTAAATCACGTAGTAAAGTTTCTTTTAAGTCATATTTTATATATATTGTATTTTTATAACAACTGAAGTTCTCATAGTTAGTTGATTTTACTATTAAGTTGAATTTGTGTGTATAACATTTTTGTTGTTATTTATAAGTACTTTGAGTCAATATTTGATAAGAATTGGCACTATATAAATAAACTGCATTTAATCTTTGATGTTTTTAAGCTGGGCTGCACAGTGGCGCAGTTGGTAGAGCTGTTGCCTTGCAGCAAGAATGCTCTGGGTTTGATTCAGGCCTGGGGTCTTTTTGCATGGAGTTTGCATGTTGGGTTCTCTCTGGGTACTCCAGCTTCCTCCCACAGTTCAAAAACATGACTGTCAGGTTAATTGGTTTCTCTAAATTGTCCCTATTTAGAGAATAGGGACAATTCATGTGCATGGTTGTTTGTCCTGTCTGTCTCTGTGTTGCCCTGCGACAGACTGGCGACCTGTCCAGAGTGTACCCTGCCTCTCGCCCGGAACGTTAGCTGAAGATAGGCACCAGCAACCCTCCAATAAGGGACAAGTGCAGAGGTGTACAGAAAATGGATGGATGTTTTAATCTACTTGTTAACATCCATCCATTAATGTCACATTCAGGAGCTGAGAAGCGTTTTCCTGCCTTCCGGTCTTTGTTTGGAAGGTATGATGAGGGTTTCAGTCTTTACCATCCCTGTGTGTGTTCCTAACAGCCACACTCCTTTAACTGTGTGTACTGCACTGCTTCAGCATCTGCCTCTTTAGCTAGCCTGCATCCTGCATTCTGTGTGATGTGGTAGATTCTGACCTCTTGCTTTGGTGCTCTGGCTGAAGAGAGCACTGAAAAGTAAATCTACTTTTCTCTACTATCTAACTTTCTCTAGCCATTTCCAGGATTTCTCAGTAGCAGCGCTTTTTGTTTTTGTAAAAGATCTGTTAATCTATTTTTTATGACTTTGGCCCAAAACTCCAATTTGGGGTGAGGGTGTTGGGTGGAGTGTTGACTGAAGGGTAGTAACCTCTGCCTGAGCCTTCAGTCTCTACTCTGTTATTAGGAGCCCATTATATACTCGACTGCTGGGCAGCGGGTTCAGGATTTGAAAATTAAAGTGAAGTTTTATAGCTGCAGTGATTAGAGTACAAGAGCAGGAAAATGAAACTTAAATAGTCAGCTTTGTAACTGCTTTGTTTGGCTAGTGATGATTAAAAGGCACCACAAGCAGTTGACTTTTCCTTCTAATTTAGGCTAATTTAGGCTAAGACTAATTGAGGGGACAATGATGAATCTAAAAAAGCAGCCAAGCGTGTTCCAGATGTGGTCGCCTCAGTCCTCTTCATTCTCCTCCCAGCTAGGAAGTTTTGGACAGCGAGGTGGTTAGAGGCGGAGGAGGCGGAGGAGGGGCTGTCAGTCCAGGGAGGAGAAATTTGGCATCATCACTAGAACAAAGTTTGGCAGTTTGGGAGAAACTCTGCAGGAGCCGGACGCACAGAGCTGATCTGCAGATCCCTGAGTTCATCAAGATCTGGATCCAGTTTATGAGTGTGATGATGGAGTTTGTGTTGAATATGAAGGTCGTTCAGGTCATGGTTCTAATGATGAGTCTTCATCACTTCGGGCTGGTTTCTGCTCAGGTGAGTAAAGAAGACTTCCAAACAGGCGACTACTTCTTTGATTTCTCATTTAACCTCTTCAGAGTTCTTTCTTCAACTGCCATGTTGGATGCTGATAATTCTTTTTGGAAGAATTGTTTCATTGTTTCTTAGACGTAGATCTAAGTCAAACTGATTTGAATTGAAGCCAAACTGACTGATGACAGGTTACTGGAAGTTGCTGGTTTGAGTGCAGTTCTGTTCACATTTGAATGAGCAAAACACTGAGTGTGAAGTACTCACACTAGAAAAATTCTAAATAACTTAGTCGATTTACCAATAATCTACTGTGAGATCAGACATGAGTAAAGTGTGTTCAAATGAACAACTGTTGCATTTCCATTGTAAAAAGTACGTCTTCAAGCAGCAGGGGGTCATCTGCGTTTAGAGCAGCCCGCCATACACAGCTCAGCTCCTCTCTGCTTCATCTTCACTCCCACAACCAGCAGAGAAGAATCCCAGCAGACGTCAGACCCAGAGGTTCATGGCTGCAGGGTTTCAGTGTTTCACCTGCCAGGATGATGTCTGCTACTATTTACACCCAGATGTTACTGTAGCTATGAAAACCTCACCTTTATGTAACAACCTCCTACCTGCATCATGTTGGAGATAAAGAGCCAGCAGTGTGAGATAGCCCTTTGTCTGCAAAAAGAATAACACACACATTTCTAGAACTAGAGTTCTGATCCTGGGTACAATTTTACCTTTGAGAAATATGTTTTCTGAATATTGATACACTCGATGCACATGTTTTTCATCTGCTTTGGTTTTGAACACTAAATCTACTTAAGTAAAACAAGTCAGTTCTCTAACAAATATCTCTATCTATAAAACCTATAGTCTGTTTCATAAACCCAATGTGGTCAAAAGCTACTTGACAATATTTTCGAAAAATTCCTAAAGGCTCTCTCCATAATTTTTTTCAAATAGTTTGAGGCTTTACTTCCTGTTACAAGTTCAGTCGAACTCATTTCTGCTTTTTGCATCAGAATATGACTAAAGCTATTGTTGATGGAAGACCAGGTTTAATCTTCACTCTTATGCAATGATTATTTCATTTAAATCCAATTTTTAAATATTACGTGAAATATTTTATTCAATATATTATGTGATTTCTGACAATATTTATCTTGACATGAATTTATGATCATGAGAATAAGTTAATTTATCTCCCCCTCTCATTGGACTCTCTGGTGTTTAATTTCCTTCATGATGCTCCAAACATTTTCATATACACACATTTATGGAAGGCAACGAAGGCAAAGCAAATCACACACTTTATAGGCATGAAGCTACACTTCTGGAAGTTATGTAGATTGAAATCTATCATTATCCTAGCAAAATAATTTTTACAGCACTTTTTAATCATACTCACTACTGAAGAGCTACATTCATCCAAATATATTGACATACTATAAAAAGTGTATTTGGGCTGTAGTTCATGTTATGGACTTATTTACATTAATCTCACTTAATTCTTTTGGGTTGATAGCTTACATTTTTTGTGTTGAATTAACTTAAATGTCACATATTTTTAACCTAAAGGAACTTTTACTTTGACTTTACTTGAAACAATTAAGTTCAATGTTGTGTTCGTATCCTGACATCTGACGTCATGACACAAGCTTCACCAGAGACAGGTCCTATACCAATCAGGGTGTTGTGTTGGTGCAGGGGTAGAACACAACTCATTATTAGTTTACTTCTTTATTTGAAATAAACTAAATGATTTCAGTAAGACCGATTTAAATTTGCCGAGTTAAACCAATTTAATAGATTAAGTTGGATAAACTTAATTGGATTACTTGTTACCGAAGAAATTCAATTAAGTTGGTTCAATTATTTTCTTTTCTCAGTGCACATTCATACCACTGATTGGTAGGGAACATGGAATCAGGTTGTGTGTGTGTGTGCGTGCGTGCGTGCGTGCGTGCGTGCGTGCGTGCGTGCATGCGTGCGTGTGCGTGTGTGTATGTGTGCGTGTGTGTGTGAGGAAATTTTGTTTGGAGGACAGATACTGAGCCACAGTCACTCCACAGTAATATTCACCTTTCCATCAGTGGTTTGCCTTCACATATTTGCAGATGAGCCAGGGCTAATAATCCACACAGTCACACACACTAACTTTTACATCCATTCACTAAGAACAGCCTACATGCTGGTTGGCTATTAGAACCAGATGTTTGTTTCTCCAAAGTGTTCAAATGAGTCTTCATTCAATCTGAGATAAAACTGTGTACAGAGAACTTCAAAGAATTTCTAAAGTGGTGACACTTTAGAATTTTTTTATATTTTATTAACATTTCTGGATGTGCATACATGCTGGCTGATAAGGGCTTTTACAGATTCCCTGTAGCTTTCTTACTTCTGAGTAGAGTTTGTCCTCTGAAGTGTCTTTATCCTGTCCACAGGAGTGTCCATCCACCCATGATCTACTGAACTCCCTGCGGCAGGTTGAGAAGATGTTAGCGCTACATGAGACATCGTACCAGCAAGGCCTGCGTTCCCTCAGGAAGAAGATAAATGCCCTACACAACAGCACCATGGCCTTCTTTAAAATGGGTAAAAATGCAGGAAGAAGCTACAGGAGACGTGGTCTCTCTTATCATCTGTTCACCAGACATTCAAAAGACGTAAACAATGACAAAAAAACCAAACAATTTCCTCCAACAGTTTGTACCAACATCCAAAAGAGCTGAGGTGATTCCAGTCACTTAGAAATCCCAGTCTGAAAAATGATTCAATAAATTTTTTTTTGAATATTTACCTTTTTTCAATAAATAACCTGACACTACCAAAATATATAATATATAAAACACAAACTATGATTACATCAACAACTTGTTAATGATGTCATTTTAAAATATTTTGCTTTCATATAATTAAATTTCTTGCTTTGAATTAATTTAGCTTGTATATTATCTGCAGTTTTTACCCTGGTCTAAATTGAGTATTTGATCTCTGTTTTTTACTTTCTTCTTCATTTTGACCATGGCCCTCTGGTTATTTTGGTAAATCCAGTCTCTCTTGTTTAAATAAGCCGGTAAATCCTGTTAGCTTAGGGGTCCAAATATGCGTTTTTTGTCTGTTCGCAAGCTACATCTGAGCCAAAATGCAGTAAAATTGTCTCTTTTTTATGAATAAAAGTCCATGTAAATACCAGACTGATGCTGCAACGCAGTGATTTAAAATTTCCATATAAATCTAAATGACCAATGCGGTGCAGAAGCTAAACAGAACATTCAGAAGGTTGTGAAGCTTTGTGAACCAATGTCAGTGAAACCCTCCTGGTTTGTTTCCAGCGTCCTGCCCTAAGCCTGACCCCCTGGCTAACGGACGCCGACTGGGCAGAGTGTTTGCTATGGGACACGAGGTCCACTTCCTCTGTAAGCCCGGCTATGAGTTGATAGGCCCACGAACCCGAGTGTGTCTAGAGTCTCTGAAGTGGAGTGGACAACAACCCATGTGCAGAAGTGAGTCACACACATAAATAAAATAAAATAAAATAAAATAAAATAACGATGGAGGATGGAGGATCGGTACTTTGTCATTTCTTTGTTCTCATGGTGTCTCTTTAGGTCTTAACAGCACCGCCAACTCCTTGGCTTCCTTCTCTTCAGCTGCGTCCTCCTTCGCTGCCTTATCTGCCTCCTCCACAACAACCTCATCTTCTTTGGCTTCATCCCCAACACCCTCCTCGCCCTCCTCCTCTGTCCGGCCTTCTAACTGCACACATTTCCTGGGCTCGACCCACTGTACGTGTGATGTTGGTTTCACTATATCAGGCCGGGACAATAACATCTGCACAGGTACGGCTGCTCCTCAGAAAGAGTTTCCTTCTTAAAAAAAAAAGACAATTTTCACAATTTTCAATATCAATCAGTCTGTGGAATCCACAACAGGCTTTTGTGTGTGTGTGTGTGTGTGTGTGTGTGTGTGTGTGTGTGTGTGTGTGTGTGTGTGTGTGTGTGTGTGTGTGTGTGTGTGTGTGTGTGTGCGTGTCCATGCGTGTGTGCGTGCGTGCGTGTGTGTGTGTTTCAGATATTGACGAGTGTCATCTTTTCCCCCTCGCGCAACCTGGCCGTCTCTGCATCCATCAGTGTGTGAACACACCTGGAAGCTTCCACTGTGTTTGCCCGCCTGGCTACAGCTTGTCCAGAGACGGTCGCAGCTGCACAGGTCAGCAGCTGAATCACAATAGCTGACTGCCAGCATCAGTATTCAGTTGTTCAGCTCTACAGGGTTCCTGGTAACAAGCTGCTTGTTTGATTCTGGCATGTCAGACGGATCTAAATTGAAGGAGAGAAACTCTGAAGGAACTGCGAACTGGAACCGATGTTTTTATCCATGCTTGTCTCACTTCTCGCATTTCCCTTTTAGATATTGACGAGTGTGAAAACCTTTCACACAACTGCACGGCAGACCGGCTGTGTGTGAACACATTTGGAGGTTTTAAGTGCGTGACAGTGAAGTGTCCCAAGACAAAAAACGCCACATACATCAAGACGTCTCCCATGTAAGGACAAACATCACCTACATTCACCTACTCTACCTGAAACTCCCAAGACTGCTTAGTTCATGTTATTTGCAGCCAGGAGGAGAGGAACCAATAAGCTTTTGAGCTCAAGTAATATTCAAGAGTCATCAAAAGTTGCTCTCAAGAAAGAACAGAATTACTTATGTATTTTTACCTGACTACATAAAAAATTATTCTGAAAAAAATACTCAGGTAATATTCAATAAAGAGTAAGAAAATGTTTGGTAAAAAGGCGCACATCAAGTGTTTTACTATGATATTTTATTTTATTTGTACAAATTTATGTAATCAGGTTGACAAAAATATGAAAGTTATGGACAAATTCTAGTACTTTTAAAGAATAAAATAAAGAAATTATCCATAATTTCAACATACCAAATTCAGGCAGAAGAAATATAGATTTCCAAATACAAGAAAACTGATACTTACAAAAGGTAATGTACATAAACAGATCTGGAAAAAATGAAGAGACCACTGCACTGAACACCATTAAAAACCTCCTGGTTGTTCCACCAAATATTGATTTCTGAACTCTTCCTGAGTTAAAACATTAGTTCATGTTTTAGTTTTAAATGAACATGAACTTGTTTTCTTTGCATTATTTGAGGTCTGAAAGTGCTGCATCTCTTTTATTATTTTGATAATTTTTCATTTTCTGCAGATAAATATTACATTTGTGCTTGGAATTTCGGAAACATGTTCTCATTAGTCCATAGAATAAAACAACAATGTTTTTTTTTTACTCAAACATATAAAAAGTGAAATCAGAGAAACTGATTATTTTAAGAGGTTTCTTAATTTTTTCCAGAGCTTTATATGTTAAAACAATGGGTAACACTTTATTTGAAGAGGGGTGAATAAGACTGTCATGACACTTTCATTAACATGACATAACACATGTCATGAACATGAATAAGCCTTCATGAATATTTATGACTGTTGTCATAAAGCGTCATTCGGTAAATTATGACACTTTTAATACAAAGCTGGCATTATTCAAAATGTCTTTGTTATGACAACTTGACATTAACCAAGAAATCATTACTGATATAAATTTGTTATAAAAGTATTACTGATTGCACTTTAAAAATTAGGTAACTTTATGTTATTAAAGGTTACGTTTAAACAGTAATGATACGATGGTTCTCCACTTCCCTTCCAGTTTTAAATAAAGCGTCGGACCATTCTTAACCCAATGTTAGTGGTTTCTGTAATCTCCTGCCTGATGCATGCCAATGATCTGACACTTCATGAACAGATTGATGTCTTTCAACATTGCTGACAAAGAAGCTACTCATTGCATCAGCTGATGTTAACAGATTTGCTGCTGCAGTAGTTATCCTCACTAAAGACTCGTGTCTATTTACTAGTTAAATCCAGGTGGTCACCTTTATTTGTCCAGGAAGTTTATTTTTGGAGGTTTTGTTTGACCTCCAAATGTGGCTGGCTCAGCAGATAGGATGAAGCTGTCCTAGAAATGTTTCATGTCTGTGCGTTTTTGACTAAAACACACTTGGTTTTTATTCAGTGAAGTAACTAGGACTGAGTAGAGTAACCAGAAACTCATTTAGAAATAATGTTAGCTCAAAATATTACTCACTTAGAAGTGAAATGTCTGTTGCACTAAAACTACTTCTACTTCTTAGTTCGGTTTATTAATCACTGTTTCAAAATGCAGTGTAGGCAGAGTAATCAGTAGAGACAATGTGTGAGTGGATCTGTGTAGATTAGGGTGATGGTAATGAGACCCTACATCCTCAAACTGCTTGAGATCATCATAATTTGCCGCAACGCCAGTGGGAAAACCAACAAGATGGCAATTGTAATATTTTATATTATTTTATTATTTTTTTTGAGATGCCTCAAAAACAATAATTCAACAAAAATAATTGTTGAATTGAAGACATTTTTTTCATTTAAATCTGCTTGAGATCTGAATATTTTGGGCTTTAACTGTAAATTAACTTCAACACAAAATTCTCTCAGTATTTTTTGAGGCAAGTACTGTAAATGTTATAAATGTTGATTTGTCTAAAGCCAATGTTTGCACGGTTTCACAACTTTCATACATTCTGCAAATGATTCAACAAAGTTGACTCCTACTGGCTTACATTAAATCTTCATCTGTTAACACATTTTCCAAACCCTGCCTGCAGGAGTCAGCTGTGCTCAGGAATCTGATGGACAGTAAATCCTGTCAACCATCATAAATAAAACAATGCTTGGCTTCTAATGAGAAGCTAACAAACTAATTGTCTTGAGATAAACAAGAAATAAATAACTTGGCAAGCACAACGACACAGCCATCAGCAGGAAAGGAATGAAAATGAGGGATTAGAAAGAGACAAAGAGAACCACAAGTCTCTTACCTCTGGGAACTGTCACTTTGAAAACAATGAGCTCAACCTGCATGTCAACCACTTCCCCTCTGCACCCAGCACTTAGCCGCTCTGCAAGCCATTCTGGGCGGAGACTGAGGTTTGGCCAAACATGAGCTGGAGACTCAGGCTCCAGCCAACCTGATTGGTCAAAGGCATCAAACTATCTTTGACACCGGAGATGTTTACTACTTTCAAAGTTTCAATTTATTCCTACTGCTAAATCATGACTGTGGTAAGAACAGTGTTATGGTGCAACCACCAGAGACAGCTTCTGAAAACAACAGGTCAGTGGGGGATTTTTCAGGACAAACACATAAAAGTGCATCATAATCGAGCTGCACATGCATGACGAGGCAGCAAATACCTAAATACAACCTAGCTGTTAAAGCAAAGTCACATATTAAGGGACCTCACTTAAGTCTGTACTTATCTTCAACAGTAGCTGAAGCTGGATAAATGCAAATGCCGCATTCCAAGTAGACTTATTTATTAATTACTGTGGCCTAGTTTGGTCCTTTCTACAAAAAAAAGGTTTAAATAGCATTTCAATCTATTAGTAAAATAAATCATGACCTGCACAAAAGAAAAGTTTCTAACCGCCCATCGGTTAGAAACTGATGGGCGGAAGTTTTTTTCTTGTATTTGGACTGCTGAACTGATCATTGTTTTAGCAGGAACAACAAGTTCAGGTAAGTCTTTAGTTCAGGGAAAGTTTATTTCTCTCTGATATCACATAATCGATGCTTCAACATAACCTGCCACTGCTGTATCTGGGGACCTGGAGCACAGGGCATGTTTGTAAATCTTTTTGAAAGAAGAGCAAGTAAGAAGGGGAAGTAAGGAGTAGATTGATCAAACCCGCAGCCTGGTTTCTCTGCTGCTATTACTCTCCCTGAGAGGACAGGGGATCCATCGGGCTTTACCAGTGTGCCATTTCCTTTAAAGGGTCAGTACTATGAGCCACACAGTATCATTTTATAGCACAATCAAGTAACTTTATTACCTTCAGGTGTTATAAATGCAGCATGACTTAAAAGAAACATTTAATTGGGTCTCTATCTCTTTAAGGAAATCCTGCTCTTTCCAATACTCCACCTTCAGGAAGTCATCACAGCATGGCCCCTCTATTAACCCTTTAACAAGGTTTTTACCAGCATTGCACTGAGAAGTAGTTCCTATAATGAGCTCAGCTGATGCTTAGTTCCACCAGGTGTTTGCTAATTGCTGCTGGCTAGTCTGAAGGAGCTGAGTGGGGGGAAGCTTGGAAACTGCAGGTCCGAGGCGGAGCAGCAAAACACTCAGTTGCCCCTAGTGCTTTGCAAAGCTGAATGTGATTGCCATGGGAGATTAAAGGATTTTTCAATCATGCATGCAAGAATCAATGCAACACTCATATGTTTCCGATGAAGGAATAACATTATAACATGATGTAATGCTTAAAAAAGTAGATTATATATAACACTGTCCTTTTAATCATCCAGACTCCCAGATGTTCACAATTTGTTTGCCAGACAGCAGCCAACCAATAAAACAAACCAACAATGTCCACATAATATAAAGTCAATGTGGCCAACCAGTGAGCAATCAAAGTCTCCTCATATGGAAAGAATTTTTTATCATGCCACGCACGTCAAAGTGGTTCATATTGCCTTTGTAAGAACACAGCATCACAGCATTGCCCTAAAGGTTGGATCTGTCACTGGTGTGAGTGAGTCGCCTTTTGGAATATTCACACTTTGTTCTGCAGCGTGTCCACCCACTGTGCTAAAAATGCAATCTCAGTCTCATCTGATCAACGCATGGTCCTAGTTAAAATTCCACCAGACCAGAGTAAACCATACATTACATCTTTACATAACTAACTGCAAAACTGAAAAGGCTTCTTTCTGGCATACCTCTGTTTTAATCGTCCTCAGCCAGAAAACTTCACCATGAGACTTTTTTTGTTGTTGTTTACTAAACAACATGAGAATTTAAAACTAGATCTGCCTGCTGTCACACCCTTAAAATGTTGGGAAATGAAGGGCAAGGAAAGCCTTTGGGCTTGTTTGTTAAATGAATTTAACAAACATGCTTTAACTGAGAATGTGGTGTCTGTTTTTCTCCAGGCGCTGTGAGAGGAATCCATGTATGTTTGGGGACAAAGCCTGCACTCAAGCTCCAAACTCCATCTCCTTCCACTTTCTCGCTGTGGTGTCCAATATGTCTGCCCCTCGCGTCCTCTTCCGGGTGTCTGCAGCCCGTGTGCTGGGAGACACGCTGCGGTTTGGCCTGGCTGGTGGCCGTGGTCGCGGTCACTTCAGTGTTCAGCGCTCAGGTCGGCAGACCGGGACTCTTCTCCTTGTGACGTCTATTAACGGGCCGGCCACACTGGAGGCTGAGGTGGAGATGAGTGAGCTAGAGAACAACACCCTGCTAGGCCGCTACCTCACCAAGGTCACCCTGTTTGTGTCCCCGTACATGTTCTAACAGGGATGACAAGCAAGAGGAGTCCATGGACTAATAACCATTCAATGGATACCATAAGAGTTTACGGTAACACTTTATTTGAAGGGGGGTGAATAAGACTGACAAGACACTGTCATAAACATGACATAACACATGTCATGAACATGAATAAGCCTTTATGAATATTTATGACTGTTGTCATAAAGCGTCATTCGGTAAATTGTGACACTTTTAATACAAAGTTGACATTATTCAAAATGTCGTTGTTATGACAACTTGACATGAACCAAGAAATCATTACTGATATCAATTTGTTCTAAAAGTATTACTGATTGCACTTTAAAAATTAGGTAACTTTATGTTATTAAAGGTAAAATTTAAACAGTAATGATTTCTTGGTTAATATCAAGTTGTCATAACAAAGACTTTTTAAATAATGTCAACTTTGTATTAAAAGTGTCATAATTTACTGAATGACGCTTTATGACAACAGTCATAAATATTCATAAAGGCTAATTCATGCTCATGACAGGTGTTATGTCATGTTTATGAAAGTGTCATGACAGTCTTATTCATCCCCCCTTCAAATAAAGTGTTACCGAGTTTACTGAGACCTGAATTTTCAGAGACATCATCTTTTGTTCGTTTGTCAATGTAGTAGTTAGAAAACTTGTACCATTAGCTTCTCTGGTGACCTCTCAGCACTTTATTATTATTATTATCACTGAGACACCCAGTCCTCTGTTTGTTGACTCAGCATGACCACTTAGCTATGAACATGTGTAGTGTATAGTCGTTCATTCTACATATAGACTTACTGTGAACCTTTTCTACTGCTTTAAACATGCTCTCATTTAAGGAGGGACAACAATATTTGTTTCTTTCTTAACAGATTAATATTGCTATAGATGTTTCCAGGTAAATCCTGGTGAAGATGTTAGCATTGGAACAGTCTCAGTTGTTCTGAAGGATCTTCCTTGATTTAACACACCCTAATAAAATAAATGGATGATTAAATGGCTTAGTCATCCATCCATCCATTTTCTGTACACCCTCCTCCCTTACTAGGGTCGGGAGGGTTGCTGGTGCCTATCTCCAGCTGGCTTAATCATTCATTTAATAAAATAATTGGAATATTAAGCCAGCTTCTGCAAAATGTAATGAGATGGTGAGGAAGTAACTCAGCTTTACCATTTGGATCAGCTGTAGTGGTGCAGGAACATTGCTAAGACGAAGCCTTAAGAAGTGGTTTCAGAAACCATTAGGTCAAAAACATGCAACTTAATCGACTCACATATAAAACACCACAAGATGGTCATTTTATTAGGTCAACTAAGCTACAGTTAATGATTGACTTAAGGCTTATGAAGTTTTGAATTGGTTTCTCTTTAAAATAGTTCTGAAATCTAACAACATGAACAGAAATGGCTCTGAAACAGAATGCAAGTCTTGCTCTGTGTTTTTGTTTGAAGCTGACACAAAGGCTGCTGATCCCCCCACTGTATTCTGGCTCTGCCTGCAGCTCCTCAACAGACTAAAGAGGTTTTACATTTTATCACAGACAGCTAGGAAAAAAAGAAAGAAAAACTAAGTGTGCAGTAAAAACAATCCATATTTAAAATTACAAATACTGCCTGATAATATGGGCTAACAGTCAGGAAAACCCTTTAAGCATTTATAAATGTGCATGTTCTTGTAAAGTGCTGACGTATTGAAGCTCTCTCTCTCTCTCTCTCTCTCTCTCTCTCTCACTATATATATATATATATATATATATATATATATATATATATATATATATATATATATATATATGTGTGTGTGTGTGTGTGTGTGTGTGTGTGTGTGTGTGTGTGTGTGTGTGTGTGTGTAATATCATCCTGGTCCAAAGTAAGACTCTGTTCCTACTAGTGTGGATTATTTTATCTTTAATTTTATGTGAATTTGTCAGTGGTTTATCTGTTCATTGGTCTGTAACTGATGTAGCATATAAAGGAAGAGATTAACCATGTTTCTGCTCCTTCCCTACTTATAGAGGTTTATCTCCAGACATGGCCACAGTTCCCAAGTTGAAATAAAAAGTGGACAAAAAAGAAAATAAAAAAAGACTATTTTAAGCTTCATCTTTTATGGCTCCTGCTCTCCAACACTCCATGGTGACTGCCAGTCACACATGCTGAATCTTACTTTAAACAAGAAGGTCGGCACATTTACACTTGTAATCAATTCACATGCGTGTAGCACTCACCATCGCCATGTATATGTTTTTTTCTTTGCACAAGCAGAGGCGGTCCTAGCCTGTTTGGTGCTCTGGGCGAAACCCCCCACCCACCTCCCCTAAAATATTTAAGGAGTTCATGGTGTTGCTGAATGTGTTCACTATCAAGTGAAAATTCCTCCAGTGAAGGATTTCATAATTAATGGATTGTCAATAAATCAAGATTTAAAAAAAAAGAAAAAAGAGTGAGGTTTGACCACTCTGCCCATCTAATGTTTCAGTGATGATGGCTGCTTTTACAAGAGCTGGAAATAAATAAATGCAGGTTTATTACAGCCGCATGCTGAAACTTTTACTGAAATTATGACCTAAAGCAGTGGTCTCCAACCCTGGTCCTCAAGGCCCACTGTCTTGCATGTTTTAAGCATTTCCCTGCTGCTGCACACCTAAAATCACCTATTAAATGAATAGGTGATTAACCGGCTTCTGCAGCATCTGCAGGAATGCAAATGAGGTAATGCAGTCATGTGCTGGAGTCCAGACTCATCAAAAACAAGCAGGACAGCAGTCCCTGAGGACCAGGGTTGGGGACCACTGACCTAAAGTATTTATGTTGTCTTTTTGTACGCACATGCGTACAAAAAGACAACATATTCTCATGTACCGTCAGTGTTTCTCAACTCCAGTCCTCACGGCCCCCTGCTCGGTATGTTTTAGATGTGCCTCTATTCCAGAACAGCTGATTCAAATGATTGCATGACCATCAAGTACTGCAGAAGCCTGTTAATCACCCAGAGACACAATTCAGGTGTGTGGCAGAAGGGAAATACCTAAAACATGCAGGGCAGGGGGCGGTGAGGACCAGGTTTGAGAAACACAGGTCTATCATCTCCAGGTTTTATTGCTTATCCTGTTCTGAGAAGCAGCTGCTGATCTTTTCAAAGGTGAAGAAAAGGGTTAGGAGATAACTTGTACGTTTGTGCTGTGAAAACTGGGATGTTTTGGTATGTTGGACATCCTCTCACATTTTAACTACGGAGCTACTGTCTGGTCTCAGACTAATCAAACTATACTCAAACCTTTAGCAAGTCTCTATAATCGGGCTTTAAAGGTTTTACATCAAAAGCCGATTAGATTCCATCTCTGTCACATAAATTTAGCATTTTGGATTTTACAAATTTTCTAAATTATAATGTATTAAAATTGATTTTTAAGTGTTTAAATGGACTTGCACCTACACCATTAAGCGATTGTATACAGAGACTACAGGGCAATAGCAGATCTACCAGAGCAGCTTTGGATGGAAATTGTAAGGTCCCCTTTTGAAGAGCCACTTTTGCTCAAAGTGCTCTGCCTGTGAGAGAATCTGCAGTTTGGAACTCACTTCCTGTTCATTTAAAGTCTGTAACCAGTTTTAGTATGTTCAAAAATCAAACAAAACTTTGGTTATGTCAAAAACAGAACTGTACCCATTTTTGATGTTTTACATTTTTCTGTTTGTATACATTATGTTGTGCTATTTTAAATGATTATCACTTCAATAGTAAAGCCGAACTAGGGACAAGTGCTGCGAATTAGCTGTTGCTATTGCACCATGATGCAAACATGGGACTGCTGTTTTATTGTTTGTCTATGTCGATGTGTGTCTGTCCCCATCAAATAAACTTTATAATAATAAGAATTTTACACTGGCAGCCAGGGGCCTCCACTCACCAGACAGAACACAGACATGAAAACACACAACTCAGATGGACACCAATCCTTACACACAGAACCTCGTGCAACAAACCAGATTGCACTCAGGTCAAACAACATCCACAGTGGATCTTACCGTTAGTCTGACAGCCAGCTCAGCCGGACAGCAGAACTATATCAGCTAAACATACACTTTCTGCCATTATCTGTTTGGGCAGTAGGATGAGAGTCAGAGACAGAAAAGGCTCAACAACCTGATAAACCTGAATGCTGGTTCTGTTCTGGGGATTACCTTCTGGAGATTACAGTGCAAAGGAAACAACAAAATACAATAAAAAAAAAAGAAAGAAAATGTGCCGTCATAAAACACAGTCATCATTTGGACACTACAGAGCCACTGTAACAGTCCTCTACAGGAGATCCTTCCTGCCAACAGCCATCAGAACATACAGCTCTGGAAAAAATTAAGACATCTGCAAAATGATAAATTACTCTGATTTTACTTTTAAAGGTTCATGTTTGAGTAAAATGAGCATTATTCTTTTATTCTAACAAATACTGACGAGATGTCTGAAATTCCAAGCAAACATTTTAATTTACAAAAAATGAGAAATGATAAAAATAACATAAAAGATGCAGTGCTTTCAGACCTCAGAAAACAAGTTCATATTCATCTAGAAACAATACTAATGAACTCAAGAGTTCAGAAATCAATATTTGGTGGAATAACCATGATGGGGTTTATCATCATCATCATGGGGTTCAGTGCAGTGCTCTTAATTTTTTCCAAAGCTGAATATATATACTTTTTTTTTGGTTTTAACAATTTAGTTTCCATTCTTAATTTCACTTATTTACTTACTAGTTTGGTGAGTTCAAGTATTTTTGTTCATCTTTTATCATTTGTAGAGAAATTGTCCATCTATCCTGTTTGTGTGCAGAGCTTTCTAGTTTGAGAACATCAGTGTGTGAATTCATCCGATTACCTCACCAGTCATGCTAAACATAACTACATTTTAAATAAACTAGGAACATTTTCTTTATTGCAATCAGTATAACAGATCCACATGGTGGTGTGAAATGCAGATATATACAGCAAATATTGCATCCTCTGTGCTTGACTGCAAAAATGGTTCTGAGAAAAGAACTGGACAACAGAATAGAAACCTTGCACACTTTATTATTAATAAGAAACTGTCCATAGTTTTCTGTACAGAGAAACAAAATGACACAAAAACTGAAAAACAAGAAGTTTCATGAATCCAAACAGAAAACATATATTCAATCACAAACTTAAAAAAAACAAACAAAAAGAAACTTTCCATCACCTCTCTGGATCATAAAACAGACGACCAAACCGCCTGCAGAGTTCGAAACTCCAGGCAACAATTAACACATGATGTGGACATGGTCCATCTCTGACCAACCCTGTCATTTGATGAGAAATGCAGGGACGTTTTAGGCACAACTTTGATTTAAAAAAACAAAAAGAAAAAAAAGAAAAAGGCTGAAAAAAGGCAGTTGAGAAGAAAGTTTGGAGTTGCAGGCAGCGAGGGCAGCACTCACCACAGAACGCTTTAAGAATCGGCTAGATGAAAAATGTAGCAGTACAAGTCAACTGCACGACATGCACAGCGTACGACACATATACAGTCATCTAGGTGTTCTGCTCTCTCTCTCACACACACACACACACACGTGCACGCATCTTATCCAGCAGGCTTTGCTATTTTGTCCCCCAAACTGCAGAACTCCACTAGCCGAGCTTTCAGCAGTTGAGGCCTCAAACTCCAGCAGCAGACTCAGAGTTAAAAACTTTCATGGATGCTTTTACTGATGGACAAAAAAAAGCTAATTATCTTAAGCTTTATATCTTTAAATTTCTGATGTATAAAATGTTAAATGAAAATGTAATTTCATCAAGAATTTCATCAAGCCCCCTCATCAGTCAAGCTGCTGGATGAAGATGATGCCTGGAGGAACTCAGATCTGTCTCTCTCCTTTCTCCCTTCAAAAAGCCTCGCTGAAAAAGGAAAAACAAAAAAAGGCAACCGTAAAGAACATTCAAATCAAAGAAAAAAAAAAACAGATTAAACAATAAATAAAGCTATAACAAAACATTTATATTCACTGATATTTAAAAAAAAAAGCTGTGCAATGATTCCAGTATCATCTTCACACAAAATCTTCACATCTTTGTAATAATATGATTCATTTTTAAGTTTTCCCAAATTGTTTCTTCTAGAAAAAAAAAAAGTCTCAACCTGTCTGGACTGACTCGTCTGACACCAACTGAGCCAGTTTGTGTAAGAATGAGAACTGAAGTGATTTCTGCTGCTCTGCTCAGAGACGGAATGCTAACAGTGGCTGGAAGCAGCAGGAAGCAGCAGGAAACAGCAGGAGGCTGGAAGCTGCGATGGAGGAACCAGTTCACTGTTGGAAAACAAAATATTTCTATTTAAATATGACTAAGTGTTCGCTCCCCTTTCAATCCTGTGTGGCTTGTTTGAGAGATGGCTGGTAGGTTCCACCTACCTGGCAGTCCCATGGCAAAGACAGAGAAAAAAATAATGATAAAACAAAATATCCCCAAAAACCGTTTGACAACTAAGAAGAGCATTGGGACAAAAAGGACAGGACTGGACAGCGTACACTCACACCAAGAGACACAGTTTCATTGTTAAAATACTGGAGTCATTAACCCACTCTATACTCAAGCCTTATCCCATCCCACTTTCTACACATTTACACTTTAAATGTTTTTATTCTCCACCAGTCAGTTTTGAGAGCTCATCCTTCCTCTCCCCTGCTTCGCCACGTTCTCGCCCCCCAACTTGGCCCGGCCCCCTCAGGATGAGCAGAAGAGGAGACGAATACTGCATCAACATCAGAGAGGCAGATGGAGACCAACAGGAGGCACCACTCATCCAAGCAAAGATCTTGACAGGAACAAAAATGAGGGAGAGGAGAAACTGGCCTCATGAGGCGTGGGAAGTCACACCCATGTTCACCGGTGGGGCTTTGAGAGTAATGTCATTTCCCCAGCAGTGATTTAGAAAGAAAAAAAGAAAAAAAAAACCCAGATGAAGAGAACAAATTGGGTGGGGTCTGGCTTTTTTTTTTTTTTTTTTTTTTTGTTCGTTTTGTCTTTTTAAATTGCTGGGTAAAAATGGGCGTGTGTGGAGAGGATTCCTCAGAGGCGGCGGTGGGTTCTCCTGTGAACTCTTCCTGACCCCCCCCCCGGGGTGGGCGGGGCTTACCTGTCCTTCAGCTCCTGAGTCACTCGTTTTGTGAATCTGCCACAAAACATCCCAACGAGGAAAAGCAGGGCCACACCCACACCAATCACAGTGAGGATGTAGTTCTTGGACGGTGATGTCATCACTTGCATGGCCAGGTCTGAGAATCCCTCTGCTGGCGCCACCTGTTATTTATCCATAACAACAAGAACTTTCAAAATCTAGCAGTTATGTTTGCAATTTACCCATGCCCGTCAATTTCTTTCCCTGCTATGAAATTACCGTAATGACCTGATATTGGCTGGAAAGTTCAATGTCTCCCCTTTCAGAAACTGTTGGAATTTTTCAGTGTCGCGGCTTTACCGTACTACAAATTTGGCTGCGTCGTCGCCGACACGTTTGGCCTAAAAGGGTTTCAAACTACAACACAGTCCACTGACTGCTGTAAGGTAGGCAGTGGACTGACTTAGAGTTCATACAACTCTGACTTTGGTTTAGAACACAGCAGTTTAAAAAAGCTTATGTGTGAAATTAAATTTGAGGGTCAATCATCCTCCTGAACAGAACAAAAAAGACACACACGGTCGTGCATAGTGTGTGTTAGAGCTCTACATTCACTGCCAGGTGTGAGAAGTCGGTCGTAGCTTCACACCTGAACCAAAACTTCAACCTGTGGGGCTGCAGCAGCCTGCATGAGAGCAGCTGCATGGCGGAGCAGACAGCTCAGCGCCTGGGGTCAGAGGTTAGCCATACCTTAGCAGCATAGCTCCACATGTCGATACGATCCTGGAGTCTCTTCTTGCACTCTGGCTGCAGACGGACACGTTTGTCCTGCAGCGCCTCCATCAGGCAGGACATCTCTGAGGACAAGAGCTGGTTTCAATACCCAGAACAATAAAACAGGCAGACTGCATGTTCACTGATAAATATACAGAACCCCCTGGTGGACATTGGGGGGGAAATAACGTTCTGTGTTCACTCACAATACATCCACAATTGCAATGATGACGAATGTCAATTGAAATTTTTAAATACCTTTAAAGAGCCTCGTTGAAAACCTGTTTATAAATTCTTAACTCTTTGGTGCAAAAAACGGATTGAAAAAATCAATCAATTACTGCTTGTTCTTGTTTGTGCGCATGAAAACGGCCTTTTATTAAACAAACAACAATATTAAAAAAAACACACAAAACTATCAGATGACTTTATTATCCCGTGATAATAAGAATTTTCCTTCCAACAGAAAGTTTGTGTTTATGCCTTAGAGGAGATTTTAAAGAGATGGAAAGCCCATGTTTGACATGTTTTGCTTTTGCATGGAAGTTTGTATAGAAAAAGATATAAAACTTCAATATATCATTAGTGAGATATCTAACAAGCATACAAAAAACTTTACAGAAACCTTACATAGCAGAAAGACTTTCATTTCTGTGAGGGAACATAAAAAACCTCTGGAGGGTGCCGTAGAAATAAACAAAGATAGATTTTCTTCCAGTTTTTTTTTTTTTTTTAATAATTTGAATTAAATCAATAAACCAAAAGACTGAAACTCAAGAGTTAATATGAATTGTGTTCAGTAACAAAAGAAACATTTCAAACTAAAGCATATTCCTCCTGTTTTGTTTCTTCTGGTCATAAAAATAGAACTGGACAACTACAAGTCAAAATAAAACAAAATAAATGTGTCTGTGCGTGCGCCTGCGTGGACTCACGGCGCCCCTTGCCAGGTGGGATGGCAGCACAGTGATGTTTGATGTCCAGCGCGCACGCTGTGTGGAGAACAGGGTCAACAAAGATGTCCGCCTTGCTCTCCTTCAGCATGTTCAGCACTTCCTGCGAGAGGAGCAAGACGCAGGAACGCACGTTAAGGAACAGAGAGAAAAGAAAGTGATTCTGTAGGAAAACTGTTCCAGAATAATTCTGTTCATTAACATGCAGTGGATGGTTTTCTCTCTTGATACTTCTTAATGAAAGATTATCCAGAGGAAGCAAAGCATTGCCTCATCAGCAGATCATTCACCTTCTTACAAGCTTCCTGTTTGATCTTCAGAAGGTTGATTTTCAGACACTCCTCCACCTGTCCCGTCTGCTCCTGAGCTGCTGCCTCCTCTGGACACAGACTTGAAATCTACACACACACACACACACACACACACACGCACACACAAATTTAAAAAAAAAACTCTGGGCTGCTCTGTATGCAGCCGTTTCTCATACATCTCACTGGAAAGAGACAAACTATCCAGGAAAATGACTTCATGTTCATGTGTTGGTTCTAAAACCTGGTTCAGCTCATGGTCATGTACAGCTATATCCACACTAAGCAAACCAATCATTAAAGTCTTAATCCATTATGTTTCAAAAGCAACTCCAATCAGCTGGTTTTAGTCTTGATTTAAAGGAACTCTGTGTTTCAGCAGTTTTGCAATATTGTAGGAGTTTGTTCCGATCGTGATGGTGAAGCTGAATGCTGCTTCTCCATGTTTGGTTCTGGTTCTGGGGATGCAGAGCAGAGTTAAATGCACAGACTGAACACAAACAACACAGAGCCATGTTGACTCTGGACGGATAGATTTCATAGATAAACCAGTGGAACCAGCACAGTGCGCTCTGCTCTGTGACTTATTACAGTAGACTGGGTTACACTACAGAGCACTTTTCACCTTTCTGCATTGTGAATTTGTGTATGAATGTACACAAATTCACACGCAATATACACCAAAGTGTAAATCGCTTTGGAATCCCCAGACTTGATAAAGCACTACACCAAATCAGTTCACTTACAATGTAAACATTAGCCAAGTTTGTTTTTTCGTCGTTGCACAGACTGGTTTACCTTCAAATACCAACAAAACATGGGCTAGAAATATTTTAAGGCCGTTCTCTCCCCCTGCTGGTCAGTTGGCTACACAACAACTTGTGTTAACTGACTCAAAGCAACTCCAGTTTTTCACTCCTATTTGTTATAATCCCACATCTGCAGCCGCTGCCAAGCAAAACACTAGAAACAGGTTTTGTTGAAACCAGGAGGTGAATGAAGGTAGAGTGGCAATAGAGTGTGTGTTCAAACAGAAAGCTGCAAACCTCTTGGGTGCAGTGGATCTGAAGCTGAGGGTCCAATCTGTAGTCCAGAGCCGACTCCTGCAAGATGACCCGAATCTGATCCTCACAGTCTGGAGACAAACGCTGCAGAACACAGAGCAGAGGAACAGAAGGAATCCTTAAAGCTTTGCTCTTCTCTAGACATCTAAATCATTCCATTGTCATCAAGTATCTTCATGATGAAAATGTAAAAATGCTCAAGTTTCATTTATACGAGTAACCATTCGAGTATCGACTCTGACCTGGTCTGCATATTTGAGTTTGAGGCAGGAGATGACTTGACCCTCCAGCTCTGTGTCCGTCGCTCCCTTGTTCAGGACAGACTGACAGAATTTTGGGATGTCGGCTTTACAGGCCTTCTTCAGCACAGGGTTTAATCTGTAGTCTGAGCACACACACACAAATACACAACTGTTAGGTTTCAATCTGCTTCAATTTATATGCTGGGCTCAGCAGGAGGGGGTGAAAGGTCAGAGAGGGTGTGTGTACCTGTGTTCTGGGTGATCTGTCTCTTGGTGATCATCTGTTTGCATTTGGGATCCATCAGCTCACTGTTCTTGTTCTGTTTCAGACACTGAAGAACGTTCTTGCCCTCCGACTCCGTGCAGAACCGCTGAACAAAAACAGGAACAAAAACACAGTAAAAACAATGAGACTGCAGCCTGAGCCACCAGAGGCTCTGTGGATGTTTCACAGTGACTCCAAACACAGGTTTTGGCAGTTCTTCTAGTTTTTTCATAGAATAATTTTACTTACTTTCAACAACAGAATGACGCCAAAAGTACCAGTAATGTTTGTTTAAATCTATTACCTCATCACACAGGTAGAAACTTTCTTTAATGTTTTCTACAAATATTAACACTACACTAAAAAAAAAAATCCATCTCTCACTTTACAGAAGATCTCCGTTTTGCTCGAGTCATTTGCTGGACCCTATTTCCTGTCAATTTACTGTTCAACAAAGGCCACTAGTGCAAATACATAGCATATTAGATCTTTAAAATAAAGTTTTCCTATCGTAGGTATTTGTCAAAGTACCTTTTGTTTTTCAAAGGTCATGTAACATTGTTGCTCTAGCCGATTTTATTTATGAAATGCAAAAAGGTTCTTTGGATTGTTGAGGTTGCAGACCTCTCTCCTGGAAATAATAACTATAGTTCACTACAAACTGCCAATCAGTTCCAGTGCGTTACCTTCAAACATTACAAATAACTTTTAAATATTTTAGAGTGTTTTCACACCTAATAGTCCAGTAGACTTGGTTCAACTGGGGACCAAAATTGCAACACTTCATTTTCAGCTGCACTGCCCTGTGTCAAACAGGCCAAATTAATTGAAAAACATATTCCCCTCCTCGCCTGTGGTGGCACTGCACCAAAAACTACTGAAGGAATAGACACAAAAACCTCAGAAGAGAACACCGAGCGCAACTTCCTTCTTCACAAAATGTAAAGATAAATGGAGGCGTCAGATTTTGGCAGTTGGTGGATTTCTCTTTTGGTTTTTGGCAAAACTCTCCAGACCTCGTCTGAGTTACTCATCATCTGATTCTTCTTCTTGATTTATTTCTGAACAATAACACTCAACAATGGGGCTTACACTGAATAAAATAACAAAATATAGCCGAGTAAACACAATGTGATAATAGAAATCACAAGCAGTGGTGGCCCACCCGGATCATGTGCTTGCAGACTCTCATCAGCTGATAGTCCAGTTCAGGGTCAACCATCTCCACCTCCTGGAGCTTGAAGATCTTTTGGTGGCAGCGCGAAGACAGCTGGCGTTTGTTCTCCTTCAGACACTCGACCACCTGGAGTGGGATGCAGACACTGAGTCAAACTTTCCGTCCCTCGTAATCATGGAGGACGAGGGACGGAATAAAGAAGAAGGTGATAAAAATGAATCCACCTGCCCTGGATTCTATATTTCACAGACTCAAACTGAGCTAAACGGAATGTAATAAGTACAGGAAGCAGGGCTGAAAAAAACCAAATGGTGGTTTTCATTATCTTCTTTGTTGTCAGAATGGTTGCAAAGCAATGAAAGAAAAAGAAAAATAAGACTACTTTTTTTTGTGTAATTTCCACAAAAGAAAATCTCAAAATGCTTTTAAAAAATTATTGCAAACCTTGCAGTGTGTACTGTCCCTTTAAATGAGCGAAATCTGTAATAACCAGCAGCCCAGTCAGCTGTGTAGCTTCCAATAACACAACTTGTCCAAAATGGGAACAGTTTCTTTGACATGAAAATGAGCAAAAAGTGTGTGTGTGTGTGTGTGTGTGTGTGTGTGTGTGTAACTGCTGACCTGTGCATTGCCAAAAGCCACGTTCTGACACAGCCGGTTGATGTCCTGCTTACATGAGTCATACAGCTCCGGCTCCAGACGGATGTCCTCTGACTGATGGATTCACAGAAAAACACAATGTCAGGTTTAAAACTGCACCAAAGTGCTGTACAAAAACCATAACAACAGAATAAGTAGATGAAAAGAGAAAGAGAAAAAAAAAAAACAGAAAAATATATATGATAAAATAATAAGAGTAAGAGTAATAATAAGTAAATAAAATAAAACATCACAACAGAAGCGTTGCAGTATCAGGTCTGAAACACAAACTGATGAAAGAACTCTAAAGTTCAACAGGAACATCCTGGGATTAAAGCCTCAAACTCAAACATTCTGTAAAACCACAAGGCGTGAGTGAGTGAAGTTGTAACAGTCTGTCAGTGAACGCACCATCTCCACCTCCTCCACTCGGAGCTGTTTGCGGCATTTGACCGACACGCGCTGCTCCTTGGCGTCCTGCAGGGTGTCATTTCTCACCGTGGTGCTGAGGCAGATGACCACGTCCACCCTAAGCAGCAACAGGGGGAGACCGACGCGAACATCATCAACACACTCGCGTTTCAATTCAGCTTTTTAGTAGCAATTTAAATGGAAAGCGAAAAGAATGCAACATCCTGGTAGCTGCATCTTCCTAACAATCACAGAAACACTTAAAGTGAGCCAATGGGACGTCAGTGATGACAAACATCATCTGGTACTTTATTAAGACATAAACCAGCTGAAACGGTCGTGTCGGCACACACACAGCAGTGTGTCAAATTAATGGGCAACTTTCTGGTGCAAATTACGTAAACTAAACTCCAGGAACAGATTTTTTCCACATACTCACACGGAAAAAAAAAATTTTTTTTTGTTTTTTTTTTTTTTTTTTTAAGCCTTTCATCTTACATGAAAACTTTTACCATCACTAAAAATGATTCATAAAAACTCTGACCAAGGCTAAAAAAAAAAAAAAAAAGTTTTTTTGTGAGCAGAAAACAGATTTCTGCATCGTCTGGAATAAATAATGTGCATATAGCAAATATTGCTTTAATACAATGTTTTTAATAATTTCATATTTTAATATACTGTTCAAAAGTAGTTCAAACCATATACATCTGTGCATACAAATTAACCTCCTGAAGCCATGTTTAATTCCGAACAGGAAGTCATGGTTATTTTGAAGCAAACTGATTGGCCGACACAGGTTTTAGCTTTGTGTTACACTGCCCCCTAAGGGTTGGGATGATTAAAACAACATTCGGTGGCAGGCTTGTGTAGGTTCATGTGGATGAAAACTTTTCTGAAACCAATCCAGTGTGTGTGGTATTTTTAAACGATGTGACGGTGATATTGGTCTTTATAAAGACCAGGGTGTGTGTGGACAAGGCTGATGAATATTCACAGAAAGACTAAATAAGGAAGAAATTACAGGAATCTTGTCATTTAATCATATTTAACAATCTAGCAACAAAATTATAACTTGTTTGATTAAAGATCAATGATTCTCATGACATGATCATGTAAAACCGCTTTTAAATGTCGGGACTGCTGAGTGGAATAAACATAATATTAATATTTAGTCTTCTAAAACATGGCAAGTATCAATATTCATTTGAGATGAATTCATCTAAAAAATGTTCTCAAATTGGATTACAAACCCAACAGAACTGTCTACTGCTGAAAAGGAGAGGAGAAGTGGAGGCAGTGTTGTGGTCAAGACCACCTAACCCGAGATCGAGACAAGACCAAGACTTTTAGGGTCCGAGTCCAAGTCAAGACCAAGACCGAGGGAAGTCGAGACCGAGTCAAGACCAAGACCAGCGCCCCATGCTACATGATACGATAAAATGTGAAATATGATCAAAATTACTTCTCAAATTGATCCTCAAGATCCATATTTCCATAAAAACACCTAGATATTAAATACTTAATACATTTTATCAATATTAAAAGCAGAACAAACTCTTTGTTCTGCTATGCTTCCATCTCTGTGCTACGATCGGCGGTGGTCTCGTGCCATCCCTAAATAGATAACACCCTGGGTGTTTGTCCATGTTGCTCTGTTCTGTCAGGTCAGGTCAGCATATGCTGTCAGATCGTCATACGGTTAACACAAACTCACAGCTATACCTGTCAGACACGTCATTACCATATAATTTTATTTAATTAGCACAGAGAATCATAACGTAGATCATCATACACTTTATTAACAGTTGTATGGCATCCTGACTTAGCGGTTAAGCATTTAAATGAGTTTTACATGGGCGTGTGTTGTAGTTGACTGCAGCTGCAGCCAGACCTGCTTTAAATACACTTTGAAACCACGACAACACATGTATATCTATATAGTTATCATTGAAAACAATTTAATGACTTATTTTCGTCATAACTTGTTGCGTATGGTGAACTGACAACTCCTCTGACGGTCGGACTTATTAATGCGCGGACATGGTACTCACTGCATGTATGCTATTCTGACAGCGTATGGTAATCTAATAGAACAACTCTCAGTGACACTCCAGTCCTATCTAATAAGTAAAGAGACGAGCAGATAAATCATACCGTTTCTGAATGTCACATCACTATATTGCAGACTTTTGGACACAGCGTTGTCCCATATGTGCGACAAGTCAGTCAACACCTCCGCACAATAATTCAGCGCAGTGAGTGACAACTTTTTTCATCACAAATGCTTATGTGTCTCTGTACAGCTAGCTTTGCTAGCATCACGTTAACGGAGCTTACCTTCTTTGAGCTACTTTTCTAAGTGACGACAAAAGTAAGACGTTGTCCCCACCGTCTGTGAAACTGCCTGGATGTTGAGTTAGCTGTGGTCATCGGATTTCTTATGATTTATGCAGCATTATTCTATTACTGACTATTAGACCGACATCTTCTGCCGCTCAGAGGAAAGCACTGCGCATGTCTCAGAGCGCCACGTCCGAGTGAAAAGTGGGGGAGGAGGAGAAACAGAAGCACGTTATTGGTGGGATTTTAATCGGTGCATTTTGCATCCACTGAAAGTAAATATGTTAAAAAAACTGGACAGTATACTGTATGTTTAGTGATATTTTAACAGTTGCGGTCTCGACTGGTCTTGAAATAAAATGCCGAATTTTCAGTGTTTGAGACCGGGACCATCAATAAATGGTCTCGAGACCAAGACCGATCTCGAGTTCTACAACACTGAGTGGAGGAGCTTACTTCTTCTTGATGTTGGGACAAAGCTTCAGGACGTCCTCTTTGCAGGCGGTCTTGAATTTGTAGGAGAAACGAAAGTCTTTGATCTGAACCTGCAGACAGTCATGGCATACAGGACTGTTACCTGGAGATTCAGCAGATAGTGGAGCTGTATGCTTCACCTCTACAGCTACAAGTTCACTATAAAGTAAATGCAGTTTCTAAAAATTAGGCTAGAATAAAATTTAAAAACTTTTGTGCTTTGAAGCTTGCTATCCCATTTAGAATCCTACATGTCCAAATCTGGATGCATCTAAAATAAATGATTTCACCCTCCAATCCCAACTGAAAATGATCCCACCTTGTGTTTTAAGAAATGGCATAAAACTATCAGCATCAGTTGAAGGGTCTCTTTATGTAGTTCAGTTTAAGTAGCTTCAAAAAGGGAAGTGATCTCAGATTCTGTTCAATTTGGGACCAAAATTGCAACATTTGTTACATTTTCCAGTTGCTGCAGTTCTCTTTCGCACTGAACTGTGTCAAATGAACCAAAGTCTTTGGAAAACCTCTTCCCCTCCTCACCTGTGGTGGCACTGCACCAATAACTGTTGAAGGAAACGTCAAAAACTTATGAAGAAGACACCGAGTGCAACTTCTTAATTTACCAAATGTAAACAAACCCAGAGTGGTGGCATATTTTAGAGGTTGAAGGATTTCTCTTTTGTCTTTGGTTAAAAGACCACGGGTCATTTCTCCCGCTAACACTAGATGTTCATTTGTTTTGTTTGTATTTACCCAGAATTCCATGCAATATAGTCTGTTTCCTACTTTTGGAGCGCTCTCCGGTTCCCTTAGTATTCACATATGTATTCGAGCCGCACCAGCGTTCACTCCAACTGAGCTGAGGTGGTTTTAAGGGATCAGAGTTTAATTGCACACTCACACCGGACTTTTTAACAAAACGGACTGGAGTTTGATTAAAGAGGACTAAACAGAAATGATTTAAAGGTGGTGGGGTCTTCTTCAGGTTTTCTGTAGCTGACTGTTGTTAGCCAGTCGTCTTTTAGCTGACTGTTGACACAACAGAGTCAAGACTCAAAAACTAATTACTTTTCTACTTACCAGTAACAGACTGAAAAGAAGGATTAACATGGTGTAAAACCTCAGCTGTGACTTCACAATATTAAGTTACATGCAGACAGTAACTGATTATGAGAAATTCGTTTAACCCAAATAAGACAAATTCTTTTTCCTGGTTAACATTGTGGAGTGAATTTTGAAAGTCAATGCTGTACTGCTTGACAACTAAGATCAATTGGAACCAGAGGTCACGCTAGACTTTTCTGTTCTCCGTCATTCTGACCGGGCGTGGGAAGGTAACATCCTCAGCTCCATTTGTTAAAACCGCAGGATAGGGTTGCCACCCATCCCTTAAAATACGGAACCGTCCCGTATTTGGCTGTTAAATGTAGTAATACAGGACACGATTTGTTCCGTATTCTACAAATGTGAATGTGTAATAATAAAGAACAGAGTACGTTATATAGTAGGCTGCCCCAGCCATTGTTTTTACTCACGGTGTTGGTGTTGCGATATTTTGCCCAACTGCTTTCTGGGTAAAACAGACCAACAGACATGCTGCCTCCGCAGCTGCCTCCCTCCCGGCTTTAAATATATAGGGACTGGTCTCTTGGTAACCATAGTCGAAGCACCCCTCCTACCCCCTGCTTACCACTTATGAGACTAGGACGACACGCATTAGTGGGCCTCCCTTATTTTGATTTCTGAAAGGTGGCAACCCTACCGCAGGATGAGTTAAGTTTAATTCTTCGCAGCGGCGGAGAGGCGTCCGCATTGGTTGTGCAGCGGACTGCACATATTACAGTCTAATTTCTGCACTTTTATTTATTTCCTCAAGATAAACTGCCAGCTCCTCTGTTTTAGACTATAAATGGGTTAACACAACATTACATTCTCTTTAGTTTTCTCTGTTCTGTATGTAATGGAGACTGAAATTAAACACGCCATTTCTACCAAAAATTTGTAATGCGCTTCCTAACCAGATGCTCCAAAGCGTCCAGTCCATAACTCATCAACACGCTGTCAGCTCCCGGTCAGAAAGACCCATTTAGTTCAGTGTCCATGAGCTGATATTCAGAAAGGATTTTTTTTACCAATTGATTTTAGTTGCCTCTGCAACGAACTCTTTGCGTAAAGTCTGTAATGTCTGCACATGTGCACCAGTCAAGGGTGTTAATTATAACCTGTCAAATGACCGACGGGCTTTAAATTTTCCCGTCGTTTAAAAAAATAACCGGTCAAATACGGAAAATATTCTGTTAATGCGACCTCTGATTGGAACGTATGTGACTTAATTTAAATCATTTTTTGTAAAGTGCCTTGAGACCACATTTGCTGTAAATTGGTGCTATAGAAACCAAACTAAAATTAAACTTTAAATGATATGAAAGCCAAAGTGAAAAAAGCCTCTAGAAGCTGAGCTACAACAGAAGCTCGGTTTGCTCACCAGCTGGAAATGTGTGACGCCCACTGCACACTTCTCATTCATCTCCTTCTGGTGTTTGTTCTGAATCAAACACTCCATCAGGTCACCAGAGTCGATCTGATTGTCTGCTACCTCCTGACACATGGAGAGGAAACAGGACACAGACACGGGCAGGGGTCAGTTTAAAATGCTGCACTCATCTTCCAATACATTCATGAAGTAAAAAAAAAAAAAGCACAGTGTTTTGATTGTTATTACCAGTTATCCCAGTGTCAAAGAGGAAGTACACATGTGGTACAATTACACAAAATGTTTGTGGTTTTAAAGAAACGCATGTAAACCACAACTGATCCTAAAACCTTCTGTTCCCAAATTGTCTCGGAAATGTATTTAATGCTACATTTCAAACATGGAAACACTGTATCTGTAATGGATCAGTAAGTGAATACTCACATGACAGTAGCCTTGAATTACAGGTTCACAGGCTCGCATTAATAAAGCCTCAATCTGAATGTCCTGAGGAGGGAACATGGAGGCAATGCTTAGTCACAACATTATGTTCAGTCACAGCTCAATGGCTTCAGTAATCACTCATCACCAGTGTGGTGCTGAGAATGCAACAGCTTAGAAAGGAACACAAACCTCCGACTCAAGCTCTGTAAGATTCCCCACTACGTCTCTGCAGTCGGACACCAGATCCTCCAGATGGTCCTGCAGACACTCCAGCTCCTGGCCAGTCTCCGACTTCTCACTGCACCACTTTCCCAGGTCGGCCATGCAGCGTCTCTGCAGCTCAGGATCCAGCTTCACGTCTATCGCCCTCTGGTGGAGAATCCTCTGGACCTCCACCTTACAGTCCCTCGATAGCTGAGGATGAGGAGCGAGGACAATTCCAAAGTTAGTTTTAACAAAAAAAAATATTTTTACACTTCATCATAAAAAAAACATGTTTAGAGATGAGAAGAAATGCTTTACTGAGGCAAAGTTTCCTGCTTTATCACAGAGCTTTATGTTAGAGTTTAGAACAGTCCAGGCCTGTAGGGCCAGGCTCCTGCAGCTTTTCGCCTCTCTGCTTCAGCACATCTCAGTGTTTCCTCTAAGAGTTTTTTTAAACCGTAGTGGTTACACGCTGTTATCTTTATTATATTTTAACATAAAAAAAAAAAAAAAGTCGTTCTGAAGGGGTGTACACTTATTTTAGAGGATCCACCATCAGCTCACTAGCAGAGCTCTGTGGAGCTCAACTGCAGGCTACTGAGGCGGTGGCCTACTCTTTTCATTTAATTCAAGTGTGGAGGACTGACCACTCAGTTTGAGACCACTGGTTTAGACGCTGTTTGTTAGTCATTACAGATTCTTAATACATCTTGTGTTTCAAAATAAAGCCAATACAGACCAGATGGAGGAGCTAATCAATGGAAACAGACTGAATAATCACTAAAGCATGGGCTGTATTGACATGCTGCCCATCTGACCGTATTCAGCTTTCCAGCTTTATACAATCCTAAAGTTTTACTCTTACACTCAGAGATGAGAGATTCCTGTAAAGGTCAAACGGTTGCCATGGGATACGTACCCTCCGTCCCTGCTCCACTGAGCGGTAAGCGTGGCGATACAGGCAGGAGAAAACGGCCCCAGCTGGCATTAGCTCACTGGTTTCATTCCAGCCGTGAGTGTGGCAGAGTCTGGCCGCATCACCCTGACATTTCTTATACAGAATGGGGTCCAGCCTGAGGAACGGCACCGCATCATGAATACAATCATAGTTTGGTTTATTAAGAACACATAGACATCGTCATTTTTTTGTTTTAAACATTGATTCTCCCTGACTGCAGACAGATCATATCTTCCATCCACCTCACTTTGAGATAAACACAGCTTACAGACACAAACTTAATATTTGTCCTATTTGTTCAAAAATAAGTGACTGTAGTTTTATTCTGAAAAGCAATTCAATTCTTTAACATGGCACTAGTTGATTAGTCATTTTTCAAGTTGAACTCATTCCCAAAATGAATTCATGTCATTTATTGTTTTTAGCTGACAGCTTATCTTACTTCCAGTCTCTGGCTATGAAGTACTGCAGCTCCAGCAGCCTGTGCTCACAGTCCTCCACCATCTTCTCAGTGTACAGATGCTCCATCAGACAAGACAGGATCCTGCATGATCAGAACCAGTTCTGTACAGTTACTGCTGATCCACCCAGCTGTACGTATTGTGTTCTGGAGCGGAGTTTTGACGTTTTCCGGTGTTTTTCTACCGGCAGGACTTACATGGGGTCTCCGTTGCGGATGTGTTTGCAGGCTGTCTGGATGACAGACTCACAGGCCTCGTTCAGCGCCCTGTCGATCCGATAGTCGGCTCCTGGGTCTGCTTCCTGCACCAGGTCCTTGAGCTGATCACAAGAAGAAGAGCAACATCAGGAGAAGAACCTCAACAACCGACACGACCAGAGGCTGAAGCTCCTACACCCAGGTCAGAAACAGAGGCAGTACCAGAGCCACGATGGCTCCTTTAGAAGCAGGAATCAGTGTTCCACTCTGACCAGTGGTGCTGCTGGGAAACCTCTGGAGCAGAGAAGCTGCTGGCTTTATGTATAATCACACATTATTGCTAGTTTTGTTTGGCTTAGGCAGGGCGGAGCAGGTTAAATAGCTTGTTTCTCTGCCGCCTTTAATAAACAGTTTCCTTCAAACTGCAGACGGAAAGATCCGACTGAAACATCCTGAATACAGCCTCAAGCAGTGTTGAAAGTTGGAGAAATATCCGAGTTAAAAAGTAACGGCTTAAAATTATTTTCAGATTGTTCAAAACATTTGTCAGACTGATGAAAGTAAAGTTAAGGCTGACGTACATTCATTTAGCATGATTGACAGCACTGAGACACTCCTCCTGACTCTGATGTGTCAAAGAGAGAACCATCACATTCATTTTAATGCCATGACAGGAAAAAAAAAAAAATATATATATATATATATATATTTTTTTTTTTAACGTCTAATTTAATATCGTTAGATTAGTCTGAAAGTCTGACTAAGAAGATGTTCTCAAATTATTACAGTTCCCCCAGAGTGGAAATACGTCAACACTGGGTTACAAAAAAATATATATTTTGGAAGCTGTCGGGTTTTTTTTTTAATCTGAATTAGGATTATTTTGCACCACTGAATCCAAAAATTACATCAATTTTCTCAATCAGGTTTTTACTATATACTATATAGAAATCTGATCTTCCGACTAAATTGATGACATTTTTGTGCTGTGACATTATCAGTTCATTTCCGTTTATATTTATTTTTTTAGGAAGAAAAAAATGGTTTTATAACAGAGTGTATTAATTAAATGTTACAAACTTGGATTTCTGTAAACTGAATAATAAACACTAATAAGGGTAAATACATGTGAATTGAGAACATTACGTCTTCATTGTGTAAAATTCTCTGTCTCTTTTCTGTCCTGATGAAATTCTATTGGCTGTTGACCAGAGTTATGATTCTCTTCTATGACAGCAACTAATAAACATTAAAACTTGCCATTAGATTCTCTTTTTAATTCTCCTGCTAGTTCTAAATGAGGCTCCAGGCCGTTTTAACTCACCGCTTTTTGGCAGGTGGGCTCGATGGCCTCCATGTCTCCTCGGCCGACCCTCATCAGGCAGTGCAGCGTCCGGCCTTTCCGGTGTAAACCAGAGCAGTGGTTCTCTATCTCACTGCGGCAGTGCAGCACAATCTCAGGACTCAGGGAGAAATCTTCCATCAGCATCCGCCTGTAATCCATCATTTCTCCCTGACACTCGCCACTCACCACTCGACCTAAAATGTATGTCACAGAGCAGGAAGCACACAGTAGAATTATTTTAAATTGGATTTTAAACGTCCTGACGCTGCAGACGGAGGAAAGATCTGCTCACCTCGGTGCACGGCAGCCTCAAGGCACAGCAGCAGGTAGGACAGACGCGTCTCTTTGGCTCGGGGCATGTTTGCGTCCACGTTGCAGCGGTACTTCCTCAGGTCCGATTTGCAAGCTTTGGCGAGAGAGTAGCTCACCTTGTAGTCCTGGGCAATCAGCTTCTGCCTGGTGGTCAATGCCTCACGACACTGAAGACGCAAACATCAGCACCAGAGCTTACAAGTAAGCCAGAAAATTCAGGCCACTAAGCATGAATCCAAGCCAAATCAGCTCATTGTGTTGAATTTTATACCATCACTCAGTTTCACAATGTGACCAGAGTGTTCCCCTGACTTTTTAAGAGCCACTGATTTAACAGAGCTGTTGGGGGTGGGGGGGACACACAGTGAGATGAAAAAAGCGGAGGGGAACTCACCCTCTCAGACATGGCATCCTCAAACTTGTGGTTGAACAGACATTTATAAACTCGGCCCTCCCCAGCTGCTGTCTGTGAGGAAAAAAGATCAAGTTAACTGAAACTCACAACCACATGTACAGACGGGCTTCTGCTTTAGGTTTATTGGTTTCTGATACGACGCATCAGCAGCGTAGTATTCACCTCATTCAAAAAACATGCAGAGAACCATTATACAACTCTTTTTAGACTTTATAGTTTGATCAAATTATAAGTTTGGTAATATTTTGTCTTGTGTGGTACAAGAAGAAAACGTATGAAAGTGGAAATGAAGTGTGATGGTTGTAGTTAAGGTTAGCTGGGAACGACTAAGTGCATAGAGCAGATACTGCACAACAAAAAAAATCATGATTACAATTCTGATGTTTTAAAAAACTGCAAAATTGTTGGGTTTATTAGTGGCAAACGCAACCACTGTGTGGAGCAAATCTTTAGTTTTACTTTTTGAACTCAACTATCACAGCAGGTTGATTTTTTCATGCCATCCTATGTGTTTGAGATGAACCTGTAGGCGCTAAAAAAAAAAAAAAAGGTTCTGATGTAATGGGCTAAAATGGATGATAAGACTGCAGCAGTACACCATGAAACACAAAGTAACTGTGGATGTGTCAGAGAGCATCCTTACATTTTCACAGAAGCGTTCCCGGTCGTCTCTGCAGGCCAAGTACAGGTATCGGTCAAGGTGGAAATCATCAGAGGACAGCTCAGCTACTCTCATGATGGCCTTCTTACAGTCGTCTCTGATGCGGTGCACGCCTGGTTGCTCCTCAGCCTCACGGACTAAACCCTTCTCCAGACAGGCAATCACTTCCCCCTGAGAATGGACGTCCTGCACACACACAGTTTTAGCAGGCCACTTCATCTATTTAACTCTTCAGTTTTCATATAAAAAAAAAAACAAACAAACAAAACAAACACAGAATGTCCATTCTCAGCTTTTATCTTGTTTTTACTCATTTTTTAAGAACATTTCTGCTGTTATTGCACATTTATTTTTCTGTATTGCACTGATGTGCTGTGTTGTAAACAGTCTGTAATATTCAATAAACATTATGTACATAAAGAAAAATTCATCCTATCGAGTTACACATCCCTGGATTGAGAATAATATTTATGATAACTGCACAGCATTTCTTATGTTATAGACCTGCATAGTATATTATTATTATCTTGTTTTTTCTTGTTAAGATAAGACAAGATAAGGTATTCCTTTATTAATCCCGCAGTGGGGAAATTTGCATTGTTACAGCAGTACAGAGGACATAGCAGAACCAATATAAAAAAATCTATATATATATATATATATATTATAAAGTTGTTATTTTTAACACTTCTTGATCTTTTCTGTGAACCCACTTTCCCCACTTTGGAAGAACTTTTCTATTCTATTCCAAAATAAAAATAGTCCAGATTAAAACTTAAATTAGAGCTGGTAATACAAGCTTAGAAGATGTTTTATATTATTTTCTGTAAATACAGTGTCTGTAGGTCTAGCATCATTGACAACATGACACTGATCAAATATATTAAGGTTTAACCTTCATAGCTTATGTTTAGTTGTCAAGTCTCCCAAGTATCTTCAGATAAGTCAAAGGACAAACTTGTGAAAAAAAAAAGGTAAAATAATAATAAATCAGCTCCAGGAACAGAGCCATTTAGGGATAAGAAAAAATGTGAGGACTGAGTGCAACGCGTTAGCTTAAAGAACCGTTTAGGTCAATAAAAGAGGGAAATGTTGACTTGATAATGGCGACGGAGGGGTCAGGGTTGTTAAAACAGATACTCGATGTCGGCTGTTAGCGTGACTCTGTTTGACGACAGGAAATCTGTCACATTTTCCTCTGTTATGTTACAGGCTGGATTGAGATTATAAAAACCTTCAGATTGTAGTCATCCAACAGTTTTATAGCACCTTAGTAACAATGTTAAAAATTATCTACATTTGTCATACTGATTATAAACAGCTATATTGATAGCTTTGGTTTTTAATTCAACTGATGCATACAGTTAAGACCAACATGTTTCAGACATGCAACAGACTTAGGTTTATGGGATCTTTCAGTGCTTCTAAGAACAACATAAAGTTGGCAGTGGCCTAGTCAAAGTCCTCACAGATAAAGTTAAAGATTATGATGATAGAAAGGATGTTTGATTAAATGTCCTATAAAACATAAAGACTGAAAAAGTAATCTAGTCCAAACTGATGCTTATTTTATATACTTATCCTTTGTTGATTCCTGATTTTAAAAAAAGTTTTTGTTTTTTGTGGTTTGGTTTTGTTTTACTTACAAAGTGACTGACCTCTATCGCCCCGTCAGCGTGGATGTTTCTGATTACAACTTATCCAAACCGAGTTTTGGACCTGAACAAGCCTCCTTGATGAGACTCAAACCATCTAATGAAAGTTCAGAGGCCTTCAGGTAAAACTCTGCAGACAGTGAATCTCCACCAACTCGTCTAGTTACTAGTGAAACCTGACATCCTGCAACAAGTTAAACCAGCTTAGACCTCCAATATCTAAAGTACGATCATGTTAAACACAACAGCTAATGTTTTACTGGAATTCATCCAACAGTCACTCCGGTTGGACAGGTCCAAAGTTTTCCATCTGCAGTGTGTGTTTCACATGTCAAGCTATTTGCTTAAACTCAAGATGAACTGGGGAATCTTAAAGGCGTGTCAAACGTGTCTTATTTCATAGAACCTCATGTCATTCCAAATATGTCAAACTAGTCAAATCACAGTTCATCTAATAGACCAAATACCTTCCCCACTTCTTACAGCAAATTAGCACAAATGTATTCGGAAAATTTCAACATTTCCTGAACTAGACTTGTGTAAAAAGTTACAAAATACATTTTCTGCTAAACAAACAAAAAAAAGATAACTTCAATAATGTGCACAAATGTAGTGGATTACTTTATCTACAACTTTACAAGCTCTAGAAATTGTTTTGAATTTAGACAATTCCCAGATCTGCAGAAATCCTAAGCTGGAAAAAAAAAAAAAAAAAGAAAAAAACAAACAAGCCTCAACTCTCACAGCCAGCGTCCCGGAAAGAGACGCTGATAAAATGTGTCCTTTGGGTCTCAGACTGGAAGTAAAGTTTAAAAGTGGAGAACAAAGCACCTGAAGATGTTTTTCTAGCCAACAGTGCGTTTGACATCCGTGTTCTAAAGCAAACATGATACACGGTGGTTTAACTGTTTCAGCACAGCTTTCATTTACATGTTTGAGATCAGAAATGTTTCACAGTCCAGAGGAAGGTTTTTGTCTTTGCCATGCTGAGAAATCGTTCAGTCGTCGCTCGAAAACTTAGGACTCTTCATTAACTTTAGATTTAATGCTTTTAGAAAAAACACCTGTTAAAATATGATACAAAAAATAAAAACTTTTAATACAAAGTAAAGAGTTCTACTTTTGCCTTTGAGAAATCATTTTTAATGAGCAAATTGTATGTAAAGATTTGTAGTTTATGTTTTATAGTAAAAGATGTTTGAACAATTACAAGTAGTTCTGATTATTTAGTCAGGTGACCTCCTGGTTAAATAAAAAACAAAATGACAGGTCAGATGGAAACTTATTTTGTTGATTTCCCCAATGTGCTACAATATAATAGTTTTATAACATAATGAAACATTTAAGAGTACAGTGTCTAACAAAGGACTGCGGCCAAACTTGTAACAATAATTGCTGCTTACTAAGACAGATCGACACAAAGATACAGAAAGAAATGAGCAAATTCACCAACTCCAGATGTGCAAACCAAAACCAAACAGAACCTCAAACATGTAGAAAGTATTCAGCTGCAGGATCCGTTACTTTAAGGTCCTTAAAGAAATTAGGATTTTTTTTTTCCTTTTGGACATTTTTGTCTCCAGTGTTGAAGCTCGGCTCACCTTCTCCCCGGTGCTGATGCTGCCGCAGTGCAGAGTGTTGATGTCTTCCCGACATTTGTCCATGAAGCCGCAAATCAACCGAAAATCACTGTAGATGATGCTGGCCATCTTGGTGATGTACTGGTTGCACTGGTAGTCAGTGATGTTTCCACGGTTATCCACCAGACAGGAGACCAGGTAGCCCTTCCCCAGCTCCTCTGCAGCACATTCTTTAATCTGAGTATGGAGAAGAATTACTTTGTAAATAAAGCAAAACAAAAACACGAAAAACAAAAACTTTATTTGGAGGGGTGAGCATAATACTGACATGACACCGTCATATACATTACATTGACATTAACATCTGTTATGAAGATGAAGGAGTCTTTATGAATGGTTGTAACTGTTGTCATGAAGAATCATTCGGTAAATAATGACACTTTTAATGCAAAGCTGCTCTAAAAGTTGCCTGGAAAGTCCATTAAAAGTACCTACTTTGCATTAAGTGTTATTATTTACAAAATAAAAACATGAGCTCAAACAGTGAGCTCATGTTATATCAGATGGAATATGAGCCGATCCCACTACTTCCTCTTTACAAATCAGACAGATCAAAAGCTAAGCTAACGTCAGAGTTTTTAACGTGTGCTCAAAATAAGTTTGGTTAGTTGTTGAGCTCTGTGAGCACGCTTCCTCCTGCTGATAAAGTCAGAGTTAAAGTAGAATCAGTTTAACACTGGAACTGAGAGATCAGAGGACCAACTGATTCTGGAGAAAGTTTTGCTGAGATAAGAAAAACTGTAAAAACAAAAAGCTTCAAAATGAGTAAAAAGTCAAGTTAGTGCTGCAATAACATGATTCTCACCAGCTCTAATATTGGACTTGTCTCATTTCTAAGTTTGGCACATTGATCTAGTTAGCCAAAGTAGGATAGTTTATCAATTCTGACTAAATACAAGGTCAAAGTGGTGTTGACCTCTGACCTCAGAAATGGTCGTCTTGCAGACCTCCACAGCTACAGACTCAAACTTCGGATCGGTGGTGAGGTTTAACTTGTAGTTCCACAGAAGCTGGAAAAGAGAGCAGACAGCATAATCATAACCAGTTCCAGATGATACATTATTTTTATATTTAAGTGTTTTAGTTCCAACTAAAATGATGAAACTGACAAAACTACTGAACATTCATGTTAAAGATTACATTTAACTATACATGCTAAACCAATTCCTCCAGTCTACATATGTAGTAATACACTCAGAGCAAGGCATGCTGGGAAGAGGGGGCTTTAGAGTACTTACATGATTACAGTCGGCGGCAATTTCAGAATCCTGAAAGAAAAAAAAAAAAAAAAAAAAATATGGTCAGGGGTTTGGCATTAAGATTTAATTACAGCTCAAACATTTTTTTTCTTTTTTTTGGCTCTGTAGATGAACTAGACAATCATTGAAACTTAAATCAAATTAGCTTGTATGCAAAAACACAACTTCTACATCATATTTTTGCCGTGTTGATCAACACCTCCTTTATAATCATGAAGACTCTTCCCATAATCAGAAAAATGTTGAAAGACGGGAGATGAAGTTCCACCCAACACCAACATATAGACCCCGATGTGGAATAAGCCTGGATGTACAGACAGTACAGGGTGTATGCTGTAAGCCTAATGACAATCCAAACACTTCTCTTGTTGAGACATTTGGACGGCGTGTCTGAGGCTGATGGCAGAGCTCAGGCAGACACACATCGTACACACACGGCTCAGCTCAGCAGGATGTCGGCAGACTGATCAACGCCGACATCGATCAGTCTGCCGACTGGAAACAGCCTTCTGGAAACACGGCTTTATAGGTAAAAGTTTACTACAGAACTACCATATGAAAATGGCCAAATAAAGGACCAGCATAGAGATGAGAAACACTGGAAGCTTAACCAGACCTGCCAGGGAGATCCTGACAGGTTTTATGTTCTCAGCCGTTGGATCTACAGCAGATTACTCAAAGCATGCTCACATTAGAGGGACACAATCCACCTGTTGGGTAACTTAAAACCACAGGAATATTTTCAGGTAGTTCCACAGTAGAACTTGAAGCCGATTTGAAGAAAACTGCCTTAATGTACCTTCTCCACAGCCAGCTCTAGCTACATGCTGCATCAGACCTAAAAACTACTGAGAGACCATGAAATTTGTGCTTCATTTGTGGAGGGAAAAAAAACAATCTTACAAATTAGTGATATTTTATGAGATGGCATCCATGCAACAAACTCAAAAAAACATTTTTTAACAAACTTCAGCTGCGACCGTTCTCTGCCAGTCTGCCTCTGATAAGTGAAATACTTTGCGATGATGTTCATGATGGGTTATCTTACTCGTTTTTTTATGTTCTGTCTGGCTATGCTTTTTTGAGTTTTTTTTCTTTTTCTTTACCATCTAAATTATTCATCATACTATAAACCCGATTCAAAACATGATATTCATTACAGGTCCTGTTATCAGCTGCCCTAAGACTTTCACCACCAGTCACTGAAAGAGCCTCATCAGTTTCTCACTAGTAGAAGAGATTGAGAAAATAAAATATCTTAAAAAAAAAAAAAAGCTCATGACATTGAGTAACGCCAGGCAGTTCATTTGATGTCACACTTCAGCAGACAAATTGGCTAAAGACATCCACTGTCAGTAAGAAACCATTTCTCTGAAATGCTGATTAAAGTCAAGGCTCGACTTCCTTCCTCAAACAAGTTCAGCTTCCACACACATTTTTTTTTTTTTTGGCCTTCCTCTCTCACTGCGTCTTTCCCGCCATGCCTTCTTCACTGCTTCCAGATCTGAAAGTCACAATAAACACAATTAAGAAGCAGCCATTATAGATCATTTTGTCCTTCCGCGTCACACAGGTTGACCTGTTGCTGTCTCAGTGTGCTCTGTGTGTTTCCACGGCACGCTGCTGGAGCTGCTGGACTAGAAGGTGTAGCCGGCTTCCAACTTGGAGCAAAGCAAGAAGGGCTGACCTCTACGTTTGGCTCCGGATGCAGCCTTTTCATAATATCCAGTCAATGCTTTTAAATGGAAGCGAAGCAGTTGTGCAGCATCTCAATCTAATAGAACCAACACCAGATTCTGCTGAACAACTCATTTCTCCCATCAAAAACAGTCTGTCGAACGTACGCTCTCAAACAAACAAACTGCTTCGGTCGTTGTGTGTTTTATATGATTAAGTACCAACTGTCCCACAGGACACCACAGTACTAATCATGCTATATTAAACAAACTAAGTATATTGCAGGCACAGAGCTTGAATATGTAAATAATTAGCCAGCGGTTCCTGTAGAGCACTCACTTTGTTACAGTGATATTTCTATAAATGGGATAACGTGCGCCATGTTGAGCAATCCGTCAAGATGAAGATCACCTCCATGTTACGCCGCATTAATGCAATAATTCATGCAAAAGGAAGCTCAACCAAGTCAACTAAAATGTTTATTTATGTTATGCAGTGTTCCAATTATGGGTTTTGAATCATCTATAATCATCAAACTTAAAACAAAAGCTTGAAATATTTGGCTCCAAATGTACTGAATCTGTACACGAGTTTCACTCTGAAATGAAAAATACTGCATTTTCCACAATATTCTCATTTTTTGAGCTGCACGCATTATTTACTGAACTCCTAAAACTACATTTTGTTTACGCAGATTGTGGCTGGAACATGGACAATCACTTTAAATCATATTGTGTCCAAGTATGATCCATTCCAGGTGGGTTAACCCATGGTTGACGTGAAACGTGCTATGATGGAGAGAAAACAGGAAGAAGTTAAGTATGAGACTGTGAAAGCAGCAAAGACAAAGTCCAAAGATATTAGAAAAAATATATATTTTAAGAATGAAATACATCATATGTCCGATTACATTAAATATGGACAACATTAAAATAATCGCTCAATAACTTTAATTTATAGTTCTTACCATTTACTCTGCCACATAATGAAACGGCAACATTTTTCAGTATTTGAAACCATACAAACCAGAACAGCAACATGACATCAGACCAGAGAGGACAGTCTTCAGTTTCCATCTGGACCAAGTACCACGTACACAAAACCACAGCGCAACTGCCAGAGAGGCTGACCGAGGGCAGGCCCAACAAACCCAGTCTAAAAAGAATTCTGAAATCCCACCCAGCAGCCTGAAACAGGTTCAGCTTCCAGAGAGCAAAACTTTATCTGCTGCCTTGGCAAAGAAACAAGAAACATTGTAAAATGTGTTACTAAAATGGATCAACACTTACTTTGAACAAATCGTTCTAGTCTTAATTCTTGAGACAACCCATCATGTTTTATTGTGACTTAAATGTTGTCGTTTTTGGAAACTTTGTTGTAGCTGATTAGAAACACCTACAAGGCCACAGCCGGATGTGATCCAGTCAGGACATTAGGGCTGTAGTGATACAATAATCTCACGATACGATACACGATATTCTGCTCACGATACAATATATATTGCGATATTCAGCAAACAATACAATTCAATACACTTTTGGAATTTTCTGAAAGATTTTAGAGGGACAGAGTGATTTTGGTGACATTTTGTGACTTATAGAGTTGGATTGAATTAATTTAACTGAAAACTGATTAAAAGCACCAACTACACAATACCTGCACCAACTACACAATACCTGGCTCTGGTTGGACATGGACACAGACTTAAAGTTGATAGCTGGACAAAATGAATCAAAGAAGTGGTGAGAAAACACGTTTCTTTTAATTAAAACAGTACAAACTGTAGCTTACATGCATTTGTAAAGTAAATACAGTCCACCAAGTACCCTGCTCTGAATAGTTTGATACCTTTTTAACCTTAACACTTAACATCTGAAGGAATCACTCTAAGCCTGCTTGCTTCACTCTCCTGGCGAAGCAAGCAATGAGTGAGCAAGGTGACAGTTGGATGTTACGATACTTGCGGATGAATATCGATTTTTTTCTAGGAAAGAAAATATCGATATATATCGCAAAATCGATATTATTACACAGCCCTACAGGACATACAGTCAAGACAAGGCACAGGAGGATGAACAAGTGAACACACAAAGAGAGAGTGAGAGAGAGAAACCGTTCCCATGATAATGATTGTTTGTATAGAAACAAGATCTACGTGTAAGCTGCAGAGCAGAACGACATCTGTTATAACACCAGGTTAGGCAGTACGTCACTCAACACCATTATCCATGGTCAAACTAATGAATATTTCAACATGAAACTAAAAAGATATTCTTGAAGATACTCAATAACATCTTCCCAAGATGGCACAAAGCAGCACCTCAGACAAATACTGGAAGGTCTCCCAGTGGCTTTTCTCTTACTGTCCTGGTTTAGGAGTTCTTACAGCTCATTCTTGACCAGTCATGTGGGCAACATCTTTGTCTTCTGCTGTATCCAACATCTACCGTGTCCTTGGTCAGAAGTGTAAGGTGGGTAAAGTAAATACATCAACGTATGCTGCAGTGGGAGAATGTCCCAAGAGTACTTTGCTTACGTTTCGTGCGAAAGGTGAAATGCCTTTAACAAAACAAAACGTTGTCTAATCACTGTGAGTAAAAGAAGACATTTCTCTGATCGTACACAGTATGTACTGGTCTGAACCCCCTCCACTTAACTTTCAGCTGCTCTGCTCAAGCTACCAAAAGTCTGAAACCTCTGGAAGTCTAAGACTCTCGTAACATGGCTGTACATCCAGAGGAGGATCACTGAATTCACATTGACACAAAAATTTGTTTGAGATAAATTGCATACAAACAAAGTATTTCAAACATCTTTGAGCCTTTATGCAAGCTGTGTCAGCAGCAGAGCGGTGGCTACGAGCAACACTAAAAACTTATTTGCTGGAGATTGCTACTTTGTCATTCAAGAAATTTAGAAAGGCAAGTACAGCTAGTCCACTAATCAAGAACAACAAAGACATCTTATACATGCAGGGTTTCCTCCAGTGTATTACAGGACTGGTGGGTCAACAGGCTTTACCCCAAAGATGATTGTTCAGAGCCAGTCTGATGTTGACATTCTCTTCAGTTTCATTTTGTTGAGAAAAAGAACAGAGCAGGAAACGTGGGTAACAAATGCACTGTAGGTAAATGTTTCTGATTAGAAAATTTTTTATACTAATCAAATGACAAAACCCAGGTTTGAGGTACATGTGTGGTCACCAAAGTGTTGCACAAAACTGATAAGCCAGGGGAACTTCAACAGAAGTGTACTTCTTCTACAAAGCATTATTTTCAATATTAATTGATCTAAGCTAGATGACCATTCTGTAAGGCTAATATTACGAGTGTCAAGTTCATTTGCAATAAATAAATAAAACTTAATCAATAATTTAGTGGACCTCCATGACAACATGTCATTTTCTATGCAACTTATGGTCCAATACCTGAGAGACTCTGCTGCACAGATCAAGAGAATCAGAATCAAAGCGATACTCAAAGACCCAGATTTTTTAACCTTATACAGTCTGAACTTTTTCAAGCCTTCTTTCATCAGCAGTTTTCTCCCAAACTAGATGAAAACAGCTCTTCACCAGAGTTTATCATAAAATTAGAGGCTTGTGACTGAGTAAGTAAACAAGGTCAAGGCTCATCCTAGCATCTGGAACCGTCTGCTAACACACACACACACACACACAAACAGGGATCCTGGTTTGCTGCAGTTCTGCTCAACTGCAAGTTGATGAGCTCAACAAGTGAATAAACAATCAAACACACCATCAGGTTCCTGTGTGGAGAACACTGGGAAGATCCCACAAAAAAGTCTGAAACCTGAAAACTACATGAACAACACAAAACCTTATCCACTGACATCAAGTCATTAACTACATATGTAGGTAGAAAAAAAAAGTTTCATCCTGAAAGGCTTTATGAACAACCATGTGAAAAATGAGATTGCGAAATATTTTCTTACAGCAGGAGCTCCAGCACAGTTGATTTGAAATACCTCCACAACGTTTTAAATAGGGCTGTGGAATAAAATCTATTTTTAATTAATTGAGATCATGACAATTCTGACAAGCTACAAAACTGGATTTAGTTTTGCTAGATTATTACACAATTCTTAGAAATGTGAGAACTAATCAAAATACAATAGAAAGATTTTTATTTGTTCTCCAAACTTCCATCACCTGATCTGCCTGTTTGATTGCATCGCCAAGATAAACTCAATAACATCTCAGACCAGAGATCTGAACACTGATGATGACTGATGTCTGTCTGGAAGTTAAGTAACATTGAAAACTTAACAAGAGTAAGGTGCACTGTGCAAAACAGATGAAAGGTCCCATTTCTAAATAAGAATTGAAATCCACACACCTATAATATACCAACAAATTCTAACCGCTCTAATGAAGATGATAAATGGTTTGAGGAACAGAAATTACCTGACTGCAAACTGGCACTTCTCCTCAACGATCTTGAACATGTGAGCAGGTTACCCGGTGCTCTATCTGTTGTTTAATAGATCAATTTACCCAGAGTTAAACTTCCAACATAAAGAACATCCCGCACACGCAAGAATCTAGTGATGTCGTGTGCGTATGCATCTTGCGTAATCTGACAAAAAATTACCCTCCAACTTTTTTTCTGAACTATAATTTTGTAATTTACTTTCATTGTTTCAACGTTTATCCTTGAACCAAAAAGCTTACTTTTAGAGACCATAGCAAACAGTCCTGCCATTGCACCACGCTGAATTACAGGTTAAGCAGTCAGTGTTTCTACTGTGTTCTCTGTCTGGTTTTGCGCTGGACATCACAGTACAAAGTGGGAGCCATTTAAAACAGATTCGTTTAGGCTGCGGTTATGTATTCTGTATGACGTTCTCAAAATGCGAGCGCTAGCAGCAGTTAGCTACAAGCTGCTAACGCAGGCACACCCTGCAGCTGGTCGCAAACTACGTCTCCCATCGGCACTAATTTACCTCCTTTTTATCCTGCAGACACTCTAGTACCGCCAGGTTGTTGTTCCAGGAATGTTTCGGACAACGCCGGGTCAGATCCTCCCTACATACTGCCTCATCGGACAGCTTCCAGCCGGTAGAGCGCCTCCGACTTAACGAGGCCCCCGCTGCCTGGTTCCTCTCAGCGGCTCCCTGGTTTGCTCCGGGACCCGGACCTGCTGCAGGATTTGCGGGGTTGTCTCCAATAACACTGAGCCTGCCGACACCGTTGTTTTCACCTCCTCGAACTTGATGCGCCAGTGAAAAGATGCACATCACCAGCAAAATCAGAGGAACACGTATACAGTCCGCCATCTTCACTGAGCCACTCAGCCAACTGAGGCGTTCAGGAACGCTCGGAGAGATTGGAACTGGGAATAAAGGCGTAGACGAGTTTCCTTTTCAATTATTCATGAGTCCAGTTACTTTTAGTGAAGCTACCTTGAGTTCCGAAAACTTTTTCTGAACATTTATTCTAAGTAAACCAAAAATATAAACAGAAATTCTGACGTTAATTGCATTACGTTTGCTTTTCCGAAAAAAATTCAACAAAGGAAGCATTATAGATAATTTCAAGACATTTTTTTTAGAATTTATATGCTAAAAATGTGTTTTTTTGTTGTTTGTTGCCTCAGGGACAACATTGCGCATTTAGGACCCTTTTGCTCAGACAATATTATTCTAATGTGATGATATTCAATTGATTACAAAATA